AAAATCCCAGTAACCACAATCATCCAAGAATCACAAAGCAAATTAGGCCGGTCGTGGAACGAAATAAATTTTCCAATCTATGAAATTGCTGTTCACAGTACTCACGGCCTTTCTGTTGTACGATCAAAATTATGGAGAATTTTCGATAACCGTATAATGATAACGGATCTAGAGGTCGAACGCTCACGATTTACAGCCACGGTGGTGCTGAAATATTTGCAAAACTCCGGACCGCAGGTGTCTACGATGAGGAATGATCGCTCTATTACCCTTTCAGAGAGCTAACGCTCTCACCATCATACCATACGAGCCCCTTCGTTTCGCCTGTCTCTCAGCTAGTTTTCTATCGACCAGTGCCATTAGCAATCACTCGCCAACGGGACATCACGATTTAACTGTTGACAACGATTAATCCCCTTTATTATTAAATTATTCCAACCAGAGTATTTAGTCTAGCCTGGCCCATTTTTATTTTGTGTATTTGTTCACTTTTCTTTGAAAAAAAGATGAAGAAACTAGAAGTTCAACAAATAGCTCCCGACATGCATTGAATACAATGCATTTGGTGCGAAAATGTTAACAAACCTTCACATTAAACCAGCACATTTAAGGTCGTATGTTGGAATTTATTAGCTGCAATGAACACCATTAGAATTTAAAGTTCTCCTCTACAAGACACAAATCCTCTCATTCTACTGAGATGAAATCCTGATTTTCGACAGCCCATAAAACATTCCTCATCAATCCTTTTCACTTACGCCACTATCGTTCATTTCCGCGGCTACCGTACTTGCGAGGGAAATTTCGAAAATAAAAATCTAGCTTCTAGTTTTTAAGAATAATCCTTCACCAAAGTAAATTCCAAAGACTATTTCGTCAAAATGGTATCTCTTTAAAACCGAAGTAAAGTCCCTTCCACAAATCTGCGAACTTCTCAACTCCTCGGATACTCCACGGATCCAGAAATTAGCATCACTTGTCGAAAATGTAACCCTAATGAGTTCGTAAGTGGCATCTGTTCGTTACATTAACTTTGTTGACAAAAAAAAAAATATGCGGCCACCACAAAACATCGCACGCCTCCATACTATCAATTTCACAATACGGCTCTAACGATCTAGACGTTATCATAACTTTAAAGAATAACGAACAACTATAGAAGAAATTGTGTCCAATGATTTTCCTTTTGCAAAAGGCCTCGAAAAATTATGGCATCTTTATTGTGCCTAAGAGTAGACCATTTAAAATTAGAATAGATTCATTTCGAAAAAGGTTAGTTCGCACGAGGTTTTAAAGAACACCTAATGAATAGATAAAATTAGAAGAGAATGCCCTAGAAAGAACAAAACTGAATACACTAGAAGACAAAAGTTGATAAGTACAATAAGATAACAGACATGAGACAAAAAAGCTAAAAGAAGATGATAGATTATGGAATAAACGGTATCACTGGATAGCGTTACATTTTCAACAATAGAACACAGTAAATACAAACCAAAATCGATAATGTCGACGAAAAGTATCGATCGAACTAAAAATTACGAAACACATTCTATTTGCTTATACCCAGACTGAGAACTTGTCGCAAGATCCCAGATACTGGATTAATAACGCATTGAGTACTATGATATTGACTGTAGGGTATCTAGCGAATAAGGTCCTAGTATGACGAACAACGAATGAGGGATAGGAGACATTTTCGACGAAAACTGAAATGATGATGTGCTACTCCACAGCGATGAACTCAGCATCATCACTATTCGGCAGTATAACCCTTGAACAGCACTGAAAACCACGTATATTGGCTGTTTCCGAATAATTTGATTGAAGAGAAAAATATAAAATGATAAACATAAACTGGAAAGCAAGCCAAACATTGATGCACATCCCTTGACCCAATGAAACCTCATGGCTGACTTTGGGAGTAAAACTAAGATGAAATGAAAAATATTATTAAAAAATCGTTCAAAGCGGCTGTAAATAGGCGAATGTAAGGAAAAATTGTATACATTCGGTTTCTAAATGAAATCCGTCTTCTGTTCAGAATCTGATTCAACGGAAGATGTTCGTACATAATAGCACACGAATTTCCACTCGTATATTCGTCTTGACATGAAGATGCATGAGTAGTTAAAGGAAACTGAATAAACGACCCATAGATTTTTAGTCAGGCGCTTCTCTATTGTTTCTCAATTCCATGGACTTTATGGAAGATTGGTACTCCCGCCGGTATGAGCAGCTGAACAATAAACGTTTAGCACCACCAGAAAAATACCTTAAATGGAATGAAGAGCAAAGCACTTTGAGACTGAGGCCTCACACTAACAACATAAGGATTAAGATTTCGAAACCGACTTTCGTTGAACCTCGGTATCACTAATCAATATGTATTCTTTCTTTGATGAGCTTACACGAGGTTGATAATGATATTTATTTATTTTCGGCTAACGTTTCGACGTCCTCGTCTTTCTCAGAGACGATGATCCGAGTCGATGGTCCATGCTTGTTGTTCGTCTCGACGACACGAAGGCGAAGCTGCAACGTCGAGACGAACAACAAGCACGGACCATCGACTCGGATCATCGTCTCTGAGGAAGACGAAGACGTCGAAACGTTAGCCGAAAATAAATAAATATCATTATCAACCTCGTGTAAGCTCATCAAAGAAAGAATACATAAGGAATAAGCTTAGCCGATTACGCCTTGAAGGCTCTAAAAATTTTGAACTAGAAATCACTATTTTCGCCCAATAATAGAGAAAAATCAGTGCGTTAAACCCGTAAAGAATTCCGGATAAATTTCAAGAATCCAAAGATAAACCAGAAGGAGAAATATGTCGTTACCACTTTTAACCCCACATAACATCTAAAAGTGATTTTCTAACCCAAAAATGGTTATTACTCACGACACCAAAGTGAACTGTGTGCAGTTGGCCTCGATAAGTAAGCGCAGGACTCATACAAAAGGGTTAGTGGCCAAAAAAGCTCTTCGCAACTTGATCAAAATTTGGGTTTTAGATTTTTTTGAGAATATGGAAGCATTTGGATGACTAAATTATACATCAAGGTGACTTTCCCAGACCTCCGCAGGAGGTGAAATCTACCAAAACGTTGGCTATCGTTAAATAAGCACTGCAGTAACAACTACCCCTTTTGTCATGAACAAGAGAGTAGAATTATTGATCAATTTCGAGACTAATAGAAATTCGGTTGTGGAAACTATCCCAAGCAAAGCTTATGGAAGAATGAGATAGAGGAGCTGATCTCACTTCATAGACTTGAAATCACTGATGGCATATGGTGGTGGAAGAGCATTATGCGAACACAGAAACTACTTAGTCCACAATTACTTAACTGACACAAATGTCGAAAACGTCACGCACCGATGACACGGCTTCGGCGTATTTTCCCATTAGACTCATTTGGCGTCTGTTGTCACTACCCACTATGGTTGCCACCATGTCTGCCCACTTTGTTTTCAGCTTAGCACCCGCTGTAATTCAAAAGGAAAGGAAGTAGAAGACGTCCAGCTGGAATTTCCACTGCATCCATAAATCATTTCAGGGACCCGCGTTTATATTGAATTAGATTTTATGTTGCGACAACATTCTATTCACGACGACCTAACAGCTATATATGCATGCGAAACAAGTAGATATGATGCACTACAGAGAAATTCTTCGTGAAGTTCCAAGTACTTGTTCTTTTGACGATTTAGTATTGCATCGTTCCACAACATCCACTTATTCTTATGCTAAGGTTGAACACCATGCCGCACTTTCTCAATGATTGCTCATAAGCACAGATTTCCTAATGCTTCGCAGACAGCGTGTTGGAAACGGTTTTTAATGGTTCTTCTACTGGATAATGAAATACCAGTCTAGGCATACGTTAATGCGCCCCAGTGCCGATACTCGTTCCTCTCAATGCATATGAAAACTAGAAAAATAAAACGAAAGCATCCAACTAAAGGAATATGAAAAGACGAAAACGCGTATGAACACTAGCTGCTTCACCATTTTACCACAGGACAGCCAAATTTTCCTCTGTTTCAAAATTGGTGGGACTTTAGCGGATTTATCTTCAAAGGATAACGCGTTTACTTAACATTTTTCAGTCTAAGTTTTGAAGAAATTTAGCTTGTTTGAGTGGTTAAGTTTGAAAAATGAAACCTGGATAACGGTCACAGGGGTATAAAATGGTGTTGGATAAATTTTTCATATAGAACTTTTCTTAGGCTTGCTGATTTTAATAGTTTGTTTGGTTCCCTTAGTACCCGATTCAGCTTTTACTATTCTCGATGTTTCTGTTCTCAAAAGTAGTGTAGCATGAATATATAAGATAAGCAAATCAACACTGTTTGGACCAAACAGTGAGATCTAACGCAATCCTCTTCCTGACAGCTTAGTATTCACATTCATTCGGTAATATTCACATCACTAATGAATCACATGAAAACAAATGACAGCACAATAAGCTTCCTTATTTAAAAAAAAGGTTGGTTAACCAGTCGACAACCCATGATGTCGAATAATCTTTTCAACATCTCATTTTTCGTATTCAAAAAAGGGCTTCAAATATGTGTCTGCCACTTCTTAGACTTATGGCCTCACTGCAAAAGGAGAGTTCCTGATTGTCTACCTGCCAAAAACGGTGGTGGAGCTTATTCCTGAGTAGAGTCAATCAAACAGAACAGAAGAGTTCATAACCTATACCTTGAAATTCACCTCCTATTCACAGTCTAGCTTTGGCATAGATTTTCCATAACTCCAGTAAGAAAAGACCTCCTCTGAGTCAGAAGAAATTTTTGGTGGGCTCGGAACGATATTTGTAAACAACTGCTGACGTGTTTCTAACTGCTCTGACGTACGAATGAAATTCGGACACAGACCAAATAAAAAAATTATATCATTAACTTAAACGACTTCCATAGAAGAAAGAAATTAAACGCTAACATACCTGAGCAATCCTACCACGCGCGTTATTCCCCAAGAATTTCAGTTAAAGTGCGAACGCAGTGGGTAAGTTCATTTCGAAAATGTTTTTAGGCTTCGCTGGTCTGCCGATGTTCGCCATGCGCACTGTATCGGCATTTCGTGCCAGGAGGCGCGACACCGCTCGCGATAGATCCCCGGCCTCATGTCGTGCACACGACTCATCTGCCTGATCCTCGAACGGACGATTTCGAATTGACGCCAACACTTGTTCGGTGTGCTCCTAAAACCACACTATATCTCAGATTACTATTCATTCTAAAACTGTTCATTTAAATGAAGCATCGATAAAAATATTTGTAATAAGAGTCAGAGGAACTTTTCCACTAAACTTCAGGAACAGCAGACGCAATGTTCACTTAGACTTACTCTCTCTCTACGTTCTTCTTCAGTAAAATCGGGCGGTGTATTAGCGTAGTGGCGCAGAGCTGCCACTGTAAGCGGTAAACCGATACCATTCGCTCCTATAAATTAAAAAATCCATCTTCCCATCTCACTAAAAACGCGCTAAGTCAGCTTATCCGACAAGTAGTTGATGGTTGACGAGCAAAATAATACTAAAAAATATCATTTTTATGTCACTGTGTTAATAGCATTTTCGTAACCTTTATTACTAATATTCCTATTTAAAACACTGTTCTTTTGTCTAATTTCTATCTGCTGCGAATTCTTTTTGCATGGCAGGATATTAGGTGAAATCCGGAACCTTAGGTGGGCTTCGATCTCGGTTAATGTGCTGGATAGCACGAGAACCCCAAGAAATGGTAACCGCGAGCCAACCTAAGATCCCGAGTTTTGCTCATTTCTCAGCATCCTTCTGACTTTATATTCCTTATTTGTGCTGAATATTACTAACACTTACTGGGATTTGAAGTCACCAGTGAGAATACCGTATTACGGCGGCTCTGGCGAGCACTTTCTGGAGGAGTCCAATCCACGGATAAATCTACTGACACATCATCCATTCCAGCTGGAAGCAAAATCTCACTGCACTAACCATAGAGCAAGAAGAAAAAGTGCAGTTAACTTTAAGATGTGAAAAAGATGGGGCTCTACTACGACCAAATACAAGCTGTTTAGCAAGCGAAATTACCGCCATGATTTACTGATTCGACGTGGTGAAGTGCTTTTCGGTGTGGAACAGCAAAACAGAGCACAGGGTCCATTAAATCAAAGGATCACACAAGCTGGTAAAAAGGTTAGAATTCCAAAGTCTGGGCTAAAGCAAACCTTCAACTTTTCGAGAATGGTTGAGAACAGAGGAAAACAAGAATGCCAAAACACTGCTCTCTGTATTAGCTGACGAACATTGGATAGTTTTTCCACCAAAATTCACCAAGTCAGCGAGTTCAGTTCACCGAAACTCAAAAACGAATTCGGTGAAAATCAATGTATTGGAGATTTAAAACGAAAAAAGTGGAGCATAAGAATATTCACTGCTTCATTTTTTTTTTCTGTGGAACGCAATATTTTCAGTTTATGCACAGTTTTCATTCGCCTCGTATTCACGCATTATCCAGGTAATTCATCGAATTTTGGCGTGGCTCGGGCTGCTAAGGATTTGGTATTCATCATGAACGTCCTTGATTGCTAATTAAACTGATATTTCCGTAAACCCGTCCCTTTATTACTGCGCTGCTAATCTTCCCCACTGGTAGACTGGTAGACCAGCCTCTATGAATTGGATCAATTCCCACACAAGTCGAACACCAATCTGCCGAACCCGGAATGTCAGAAATTTTGCATTTTACAAATTTTTTAAATTTTTTTATTTTTTAAATTTTTAAATCCCAAACAAAAAAGTCTAAATAAGCATCTTAAAATATTTTAAGAAGTGAAAATCCTACCCATGGGTAGGAAGGGCGATGTTTTCCCATCCGTCTCATCTATTCCTTTTTCTTGAGCTGATTTACTGGACGACAACGTGAATGGTTGTGATAAACGACTAACATCTTTACCGGCGGCCTTAATCAACATCATTTACTATTAAACAAGATAAATTTAAAACCACAAGGTAGAAATCATTTAGGTGTAAGTATTTAGGTGCACGACGGAAGGACAATAGACTATAAAACCGACATAAACCTCTAGAAGTAAACTTTGGAATGACACATAGAAAGGAAAAAAACTCATACACTAAGGAGAATTAATTTTCAAAAAAAGCTTCAAAACTAGCATAAGATGGCTTTCGATCCTACTTAAATAAATCTTCAATCCTCTGGAAATACAATCAGAGCGCCCCAAACAGCGAATATCAATCTCACATGGTTCTAAGCAACCCTTAATCTTCTTATGATATGCCTACTAATAGAGTGTCATGACAGAACTGAAGCACTATCAATAACTGGGAAATAACACCTAAAACGAAATAATGTAAAATTCTTAAATACAGATAATACAGATCTATATGAGTGCGTCGTTCTCTTGCTCAGCAATCGAGGGGTTCTTATACAGTATATATTTACTTCCATAGAAAAACAGCACAATACATTATAGAAATCGGTACAGATATAATCTGCCGTTCTAATCTTCTCATTGAAAGTCCCGGAAAAAAAGCGACTTTGAAGAAGGCGATACTGCCGAAACGTCAGCTACTGTTCTATTGTATTGTGTTTCTCTATGGAAGTAATATATGCTGTTTAAAAACCTCGCAAATGCTGAACAAGAAAACGACGCATTCATATTCCAATGCCGAGGTTAATAGAAAGTCGATCCTGGGATAGATCAACACTTATTTCCAACGCAAGTACTCATTTTCTGATGGCTAAAAAAATTTACTGTCATATGTACTTCATATACTTAGAATTTGGTATAATAGTAAAACAATAGCACAGTAGCATAAGCAATTATATCTACCTATAACCCGTAAAAATCAAATCAATTACGAATATTTACCCATGTTACCCATCTACTAATGACAAGGACGTCTCAACAACAAGAATTTCGGAGAAGGAGTAGAATGCAACACACTACAAAAAATTCGATCAAGGTCGTGTCACTGCAGTAAAATAATGTCAACAACGGAAACAGCGTGGATTAAGGCACTTATGAAAAGCACACTAAACAAAACACATAAATCATGGCCAATTTTTACCTTGAGACAATCTGCAACATCATTTCTTTCGAATAACATGCCTCCAACTTCCGCCAACATGCTGAGTTCCACTCGTTCCACTGCTTCGGTGGTTCCACCAACAATGTGTACTTCGTCGTGTTTATCATCTAGCAAGAGGTTCAGACCAGGAGGACCACGAGCACGGCAAGCGACAACCTAAGCAGGTTGAATGAGGAAAGATAAAAAACAAAAACAATGAAAGCAGAAGCAAAACGCATCACGTAAGTTTTACTTCAAGCGAAAAAACGGTGAAAATTGTTAACATTGAATGAGTGCTACAAATAACAACTTTATGGAAAGCGAAACTTAACTAGCACAAATATCTCCTAGCTTGGTCCCATTTAAAAACTTGTTTGGAACAGAAACTAGTGATAAGCTAGCTTATTCGTGAACAAAGAACAATAACACCTCGCGTTTGCTCAACAAAAATACGAAAATTACTCGATCAATGCCGAGGTTAATAGAAAGTTGGTCGTGGGAGAAACTAGTGAGATGATGATGCAGTTGAGGAAAACGAAGCATGAGATACTCCGCATTCAGTAACCTGCTCACCTGCTGTACATGCTGACAAAGTGAAGGATTGGCCATGAGTTGTGCAGCCAAATTCATGTACTTGGCAATCAAATTATGAAGGGCGATACGCTTTTCCGCACAAAAGCCATTTGAAGGATCAACAGCTAATGTTTGAAGTGCAAAGGCTAAGCGAAATAGCTCAATAAGTGTCTGAAAAGTGAGCTGGACTACAGACATGGTTTATAACATTTTAGTAGAATGATACTTTCACAAAGCATATACTGATTAGTACATCAGATAGGATTCCTAAAAGGAGATCCTAACCTGTATCACTGACATCATTTGCAATTCCTTCAATAACTGAATGACTCATGCAGATATAAATCTAATGAGGTCGAGCACTAATGGCGTTAATGGTACCGTTCCCTAGAGGGATACAAACAGAAACAAACTTTTTGTACGAATCACTTGATGTTAAGTCCTTTCAGCGAAAAGGTACTCACAGGAAACTCCTACACCGCATAACAAAAGTTGGGTAGAGGTACTTGCGGACTTGCGGTATATAAAGCGCAGGGTGCAACTAAGTTAGACCCACACATGTGTACTCGAATATCACTACGTCTATGCGAAAAGTACAAGGAGATCCGATGGAGCAAGACAGGAACTCATGCTCTATATTTGTGTACACTTCAGAACGAATAGACGGTCACTCATTGTCAGCACTAATGCAATTCCCATAGCCGCGCTATTTCTTCTCACACTTCGACAAGAAAGCAAAAGCCGCCAAATTTTTTAGTAATGCAGTGTTGTGGAACAACAGAATTCCGTAATGTAACCTCACTTCGTCAAATCCGACTTCTATGCACAACAAACTCATCGTACACTGAATGGCATCCATGTGTAACTGAAGATTCCCATCGTTGGCAATCAGTGTCACCGCTCTAAACATTTAAATACCAACAAATCCCTAAATTCAACAATTTTTTAACATGCCACTAAAGCGCGATCACGCAAGTTTTGCTTCATTGTATTTTAAAACTGTATTTAAAAGATGAAGTAATAAGTTAGGAGATGGATACCATAATGGTAGCTATGTCGATCATAATGAGTACTGTGGTGGTTCGATTCCTCTGGGCTCAGCAAGCCTCTTATCCCACCATGGTTAGGCAACTGGTAATGGACTTGTCTGGGAAAAATTCATTCTCTATAATCAAAGTGGCAACGCACTAGCTTTGCTAACTCAGAATTCCAAGAGAATCGACTTGACCAGTACTTAGCGATATTCATAACGAAATGAAAATCCTCAAGCAGCAGTCGAACTAACATGCAAAAATTTGGAAGAGGGATGATAAATACGGGAAAACGAGTCGGGTGCGAGAGGTACTGGGACCCGCACAGTAAATGTGAAATACGGGTCGTATAAGAAAGCAATTACAATAGTTCAATACTAAGGACATACAACATTCGGTGGTTAATATTCGCCTCACTATCATACGCGAGTGCTTTTGGTGTCCAATCGCGAAATACAACATAAGATCTACCCAGCGGCAAGGTCTCTCAAGTTTGGAAGAAATTCGCATTTTCGTCCGGAACCTTAGATAAGGGTGAACCAGTACTAGGAATCACTGCCATTCGGGCAACAACATAGCGAGCTGATAAGCGATGACCTCGAGGAAGCCCTAATGCGGCTTCCAATATTCCAAGTGAGAAGAATATTGCCTGACCTAAAAAGTACCGGCGAAGTAGAAGTATGACCAGACCCGTACTATTCTTGGTTATTCGAAGATGTGTCACTGAAGTCTTGAAATAGGTAAGGGTATATAGGCATACGTAATCTCCGCATTGTAACGTGCACAATTGCAATACAAAAGTGCTTCCAAGTCTCCAATTTTTTCACTATTTTTACTTACTTCACTATTTTCACTTCCACTTTACTTTTAACTTCGAAAAAATTACCAACCGATACAACATTTGAGTCATATCATGAATATGTTTACGCATAAACATCTGGTCCGCACGTGAACATTTCTCGACCGTCAATTGCAAATCGGAAACGTCAAGCACATACGGCAAGTGAGACAAATGCGACAGATTATCGTGTCTGAAATGGCTTCATTTAATAGTAGACGCCTCACTAGAACAATCCAGTTGATATTTCAAAAATTAGGCAAGGCGCTTAACTGTGAACAAGCCGAGAGCGCTATGACTTATTCACCCAATGACGGTCAAACCGGTGATTAAAAGTTTATGACAGCTAACAGCGACATTAGCAAAAAACAGACTCCAATCTCGTCGAAAGAACCAGATTAATTTGCACTCTTTCCTAATAAGAGCCTCAACACAATGAAATACATTAACGGCAAGAACATTGAACCCCTTCAACAATTCTCACGATTTCTTCACAAAAACGACAGAAAATCCGAAAAAACTTCAAATCCCAAGTCATACTCTAGTACCAAAAAAAGCTCTACCATGAGTAAATATTAAGTCTTAATATCCTTGCCTGTGCTGCGAACAATTTTACTGAGTCTAAATCAGAGATGGCAGAGAAACACGGACCAAGAGAAATCAATTTGGCGTAAGAAATTCCATGTTAAACTAGTTACTATCAAAAAACATAAAACACTACGGAAAAATATTCACCTGTCAAGCAGCGTGTGAAAAATCTGCTGTGTACCCAATCGAACTTGTGAATCGTTCACCAACGCCAACTGTATGAGTGTACGTAGGAACGACTCCGTGAACACAGTGGCCAAATAAGCGGTACGATACCTTGTCGCAACCTAAAACCAAAAGATCTACTACTCAATATGTAATATATATAACTGAAAAAACTGACTTTACTTCTGATTATTAAACATCATGGCACAATACTTTTGACATTATAAAACCGGGTCAGCTCCAAAACCTGCTCTTCTTTTTCTCTTCGAGAGAGTTCAGTGGGTGCCAGCAAATCTCTGTTCGTATTGGCTTTGAGCAACAGTTACCCAGTTTACAGTGCTATACCGAAAAACACCATAAGTGTCATAAAATTTTTCTACAACTTTCGTAGGAACTCTGATCATTGATTCGACGAGCATTCAGTTGTGTGCCTGATATCTCATAGAGCACTCCCATTTATGGCTCAAGGTGACAGCTTGATGCTGGGACACGTCATGTGTACGGTTTGTTGCGTTCCCGTACATTCGAGGAGAGGACAATGAGATCCCTTGGTTCTGTTTTTGTGAAAACACACTGATGCCACGTTACATTCTCCCGTGGATGGCCCGACGGATGGCACAACCTGCATGAACGAAATCACTCCCGTACATTTGCATAAATGGGTCTAAATAAATACGGAAGCTGCAAGACAATCTAGCGCATCGTAGAATGGAAGTCCATTTCAATCCGTCCTTTGCAGGTTATGTACTTGTTTGATTCTTCTCGGCGTTTAATCCCTTGATTCATCACTCTAGAGATGGGCTACACAACCTAAAGACTAACCGGCTAGGAATCTCTCGGTGAAGAATAATCATGGGTTACGAAACTTATCGAGAAAACCCCAGACAGAAAGTACCAAAAACTGCCCGAAAACACGTAGAAAACGTATGTAGTCTATGCATGCATGTAGAAATCAATGAAAATGGGAATAAGACCACATAGATGTAACTGGCAATGACATTCAACCTTTGGTAAAATAAAATCACAAATGCAAGCTATTCAAATTTCTGAAGACAGATAGAAAGTAAATAACCATAACACAACAGCTCATGGTTCATGAAGGCATTTCACCACGGAATTATCTTACCCAAGCTTACATGGTGCTCAAAAAATCGAATACATGGTGAATCCCTTAGGGAATGAACAGGCTGAACACAATACAGATGAAAGCGTTACGTCAACGAACAGATTGCGTAACGTAGTTGCGGAACGAAAAATTGCAAGCCATCGAAAATTAAATAGAATTTCCATTTCTTTCTATTAGTGACGACTGGTTGATTTCGAATTCACCACTACTGCCGATAAAATAACTTATTGATTGCCACCTTTTATGACTTCATGAATCCAACTTGTTGTAGATAAGTCAAGCTCAATGATATTTTGATTGAATAGCACCTCCATAGTTCAGACGAGCATAGCATCACACTGTAAGCGTTAAGCTAAAACTTAGCAAAAAATCTGTTGCCGGAAGTGGTTTTAACCCAGATATTCTTACTCGCTGCAGGCAGTAAAAGTTTTCCAAGTCCTAAATGTACACAACTTTATTCTCGATTCTTATGATGTGACGGGTTTCCCTTAGGGCAAGTAGATTGTCACGAAGTATTTGATCGAGCAACACACCAACGTGTTGGCAATATTATAATGAACCCACCATGGAACCTTCGGAAACACTTGCTATTACACTTATCGTCTCACTCACATCAGCATTGGCAATACTATAACTCCTATCAGTAGAGACGTTAGAGCTGCGTTACTCACTTTGAGTAATGTCTTGACGAGCACATGCTGCAAAAATTCGTCTCCTTGCTTAAATCGTTTCTCGTCCAAACTTGGAATGTTTCCAACTGTGAACATCATCATTTCCACCTGAAACACTAAGAAGTCTAAAAATGAGTATTACACAACCTTTAGAAACGAACAGAATACAGTGGCTTTGTTAACTTTAAACCTCCACTAAACACTTTTTTGCAGTTCACAAGACCGGATTTTCGGTACCTACCCTAATTTTTTCTATTTTTACACAGCGTTTATTACCTTGATTTATTCCCATTTTGAGTAGATTTCAGAATTTCTGTACAAGGACGGTTGACATATAAATGTACTACTATAATATCTAAAAGGCTTGAGCAACCACGTCCTATATACTCTGTGTTGAAAAATCTTTTGTGAGCCACAGAGGTACTTCACAACCAAGATTTCGTCATTCTACAATAACCTTATCATTACCGTAAAAGGACAGGTCCAATAAATCGATATCATTTCGATAGAAACGAGAAGCACTGCTATCGAGAACAGCCCGAACAAAATTGAACGGTATGACAACACTGGAAATGCTAAACGAGTTGGCTCCACATTTAAACGGGAGTAATTATGGACTGAAGATGGTGAAAAAAGTTGAGCCCCATCCAAGGCGTTCGAACCCACGAATCTTATTGTTCTAACTGACACCTCAGAAATCTGAAACTAGTTAAACAGGATGAAAATGTAATCAGCGTTATTAGACATGATAAACAGTGTTATAAGAGCATTCAATTATACACTGAATAAGAAAACATAAGTTCCGACATACCTAGACAATTGAAAACCGACCTGATACAAACGCGAGGCAACGTACGGACGATCGCTGGATTACAGCCGTTAGGGACTATGTTTTATTGAATATTAGTTCCATAATAGGAAGACGACCTATATTACACCTCACGACGGTCAGTTTTTTCCACAACACCGTCAACGGGAAAAAATCGAAACAAAGATGAACCACACCGTGCAAGTCTAATGATGAGAATGCAATCGAATCTTCCTTCATCATTAGTGAGAATTCTTACTACAATTCAACCAGGAAACAAAGAGCACATTATCTAACGAACTTGTCAAATCGGTCAGTCCCTACTTCAAACATATTAATGGACCAAACCTTTACAATACCTTTTGGTAATCTGGTAGTGCATTTGCGAAGTCACCCATTGCGTTTAAAAGTGCTTCTTGATACATCTTCTCCGCTTCAGTGTCCTTGCATTTGCCGGATCTCTTGAAATCCACGGAAGTTCGCAGATGCTTGAGAAGTGAGTTAAATATTGATAAAAGCAGTGGACCTGCAAATAGTAGAATCGATTTGCTACTTCAGGATTGGATAAAGGATAAAGTACAATACATCATCAAGATTGCGATGCACAGCTGATTCAAAACTGTCTCTTGTTCTTTAGATCCTTGTGGTCAGGGAAGCTCGTTTTTTTCTCTAGTTTGTTCCCAACTGCCGTTTGACAATAACAGATAAGCGCGGGATAAAATTATCCAGACTTCACACTTACAAAATACTGTAAAACCCCACATGAAGTCTGATAGATGCTTATTCCATATTAAGATGCCTTTTAAATACTTCCCCCAATATTTCTCAAGAAAACAGAAAATTACGCACTGCAATTCACAAAGAAGAGCTATATCTCCGCTTAGTTTCAAAATACACAGAATTCCATAGCATTACCGGTCGCATGGAACAAAACACGAGTATTTTTGAATAGTTAGTTTGCAAGGAGCTGAGAACCTTGGAAAATAGGACGGGAGCCTATACACAATTTTTCTAAAGCGTTATTTTCCTTTCAACTTCTTTTCCTACACTCAAACCTTCGAAGAACTGGAGATGAAATATAAATCTGTAAAATTCACAGCGCAAGGCTAGCAACACGAACATCAAAATGTATTCGAGAACGTTACCGTTCCATACCCAACGAAATCCCGCTTTGTTATTCGAAATAGTGAAAGGTTTCGATCACAAGTAATAATTTTCTTCGAAAATGATATCCATCATCGAGTTGCGAAATTTTTGTTTAGAAATGAAAACGCCAAGCAATTCCGGCCACGTATGAGTAGAAAGCGAATCATTTTGTGTTACCTGAATCAGTCACACCTAGGGATAAGTTTAAATGAACTCGTCTTAGGTCACACAAATTCAGAAGAGGAAAAATGTGGTAGTGGTATCTCAACACACAAACCTATGCTTGTTCCTGCTATCGAAACAATATTGGAAAGCACTGTGGCGATACCTATGCGAATCGATGCATCCGCTGTACTCATCGAGTCCAGATGATTAATTAGTTCCTTAAAAAAAAAGAATATTTCGTAACTTTCATCGGAAAAAGATGTACACCTTAATCAATACACCACGATTAAAAATTAAAAAGGACTGAATCAACGCAGGAAAACTGACAGCTATCGTTTTAACACTACTTCTTGACAACTGCTAACAGTTCTCTTTTTCTTCATAACTAAAGTATTTAAAGACCTCAGAACTTGATAGCTTTGTAAAAGAGGTTTCTATTACTGATTCAAAAGCATGCATAGTTTTCAATATTCAAAGCTTAAAAACAAAAAGAAGCATTAAGATATTAAAATAACAGATATCACCTTTTGCTTTTGGTAGTTTCATAACGAAGTTTCTCGAGCGAATAGCAACGAGCTTGATTCCTACTGCCGAAAACCAAGGCGCGCATTTTTATTTTGAACGCCCACAGGACGAGAAAAGCACCAGAAATTTTGCTCAGAGTTCTCTTTTACTACTTTTGCTGAGAAAATACCCCGCCAGGCGATAAACTGGTAGAGATTTACTCAAAATTAAGCGAGAAGATGGATTAAAACACTAGAGCCACAATGTGGTGGCAAATACGTAAAGGTGGAACGAATTAATGAAGTTAAAAAATTTCTATGTGAGACAGCAACCACCAACTATACACATATTTTGGGACACTATGACCTCCTTCTAGACAAAACCCCATTTATTCAACCGCTACGCTATTCCCTAGATATAAGTCTCTAACACATCGTATAAAGGATGTTCAGAACACATTCGACACTTCTGGTCGCCCAAGTGGTGAAAGTGCAACAAGGACAGCACATATTATTTTGATTCTAATCCTCCCACGACTCTGACCATTCTCACGCGTCAGGTTCGCCGGACCGCGTGTCAATGGAGTGCAACTGGAATGCGTGTTTGAATCAAAATGTGTGGCCCATGAGAACATGCAGGATGCACGATGCACTGATTTCTCGCGATTTTAGCTCCAATGTTCGGTTCCCTCATATTTTTTCCATATCTAATTTCTAATTATCCACGATGTTCTTCTGCGCATGTCCCAATGCTCTTGGGTACCTCTTGCGTGTGATTTAAAAAAACATTATCTATTATCTAATCATAAAAAGGATAAAGTTCTCAGCGTTAACCAATCCCTGAAGGACGCGCTATGCATTCCACTTCATTAAGCATCGTTGAAGGTGAATGAATGCAAATTTGGTTTTTACAATGATCTGCGGTGGCCAACCGATGTATCGAACCAGTGCTGCTATCCTCCCAGACAAGTCTGGTACCAATTTGCCCACTCCGAAGGGATGGAACGCTTCGTGGGATATGGGTGCGGAGATCGATTCCACGTGTGTTGCAAGGCGCCTCCAAACACTGCGCTACACGTGCCGTATCTAACCATAATATTGTTAAATTCCTCATAACGGTTTACCGTCTCATCGCAGCTAGGAGGTGTTCCTGGGTGTCGGGCTGCGACATACAGCGGAAGGATTCAACACTGGCATGGTCTCCCTAGATGAGAAGTAGCACGGCGTTTTCATCAGGAATCCTAGCTAAGAGTAACCCAATACCATGATCGACCACCGTCATGGTATCAAACTAGTTGCATGGTGGCAAATCCCCACCTCATCCAAATGCGTTGCGAGTGCCTATGGTGGTGAACGACCAGAGGCACATTTTACCCAGCCTGACCACGGAACTCCAGGGAACCACAATAGCTAAGCCAGCAAATCTCCGAAAAAATGAAGATTCGCACAATCAGTGAAGACGGGCCATCCAAGTAACCAAGTAATTCTTTCTACTTCTGTTTAGCAAATACGATGTGTTATTTTATTTCTTTATTTACGCACAAGCCGACGTTTCGGCGGATTTCGCCTTCCTCAAGGACAAGTTGACAACAATCTACCGGCCAAACACCTCCATAACCAAACAGAGAAAATTCTGAACCAATATTTCAATCACATTGAACACATAATGGCTATGAGTTTTCCACTGAATATGTTACGTGGAGACCAACCGCGCAGAGTCCACATGGAATCGTAATGTGCCTATCTCATCAGAATAACAGGCTTATATACTGCCCAATATTACGCGTGATAATGAGGCATACCTCACTGCGGCTCATTTTCGGCTTCCTGGAGTTAATCCAGATTGCCTCGACAGTTTTGCCCGCTCATGTTCCCGATTCCTGTGCGAGGATCGTAACCCCTACTTCAAAATCCTCTCCGTTATGTCTCTGCATCCTATGCGTGCCTAGTAGAGTATTTAGTTTACTTTTGCCGACTAGGTGTTCTTTTATACGAACGTGGAGTGGCCTACCCGTTTCGCCGACGTAATCGTCCCCGCACGCTTTACAAGAGATCAGATAGGCTGTAACCGAACTTATGCAGTCACCGCCTCTACCACTGTGGCAAATTATGCAATTTGGCGTTGCACATAGACGGTCGTATAGTCGGTTACGAACTAGCTGGCGTCTTAGCTTACTCGGTGGCTGGACTTATCGTTATCCATCGCATTCATGTCTAAGGTGGAAACACCAGTGATCGATCTCAGGCCGTTACTCTACTGTAGATATATAGACGACTGTTTTGTCCTTTGCTCAACACAAGAGGAAATAGACAAATGCTTTGAGCTATTGAACGAACAGTAAGAGTATATTAAATTCACCCGAGAGAAACTAAAAGAAAACTGCCTTCCATTCCTGAACGTCCAAATTAACCTGTAAGAAAATGGCTACATTACGAACTGGTACCGAAAGCCAAGTAGTAAAACATCTAGGTTCGTTACCTCTCCTCTCACCCCTCTCGCACGAAAAGGGCGCTTGTGAGAAACATGTTTCGAACAACTACCAGCGTGTGCACAGGAAGACAGCAGAGAGAGGAGTCCTTGAACTTGGCGTGGCAAACAGCCATTTTTAATGGCTACGAAACCGTACCTCGAGATAGGTATAGAGGAAACCACAGGTACCCCAACGATAACTATAGCGACAATAAGGTGCTGTTTGTACTGCTCTTGATTTCAAATAAAGTAAGTGCAGCTATAAAACGCTGTTTAAGAGGGGCCAGTCTAGAGAATTCGGTGACGATAATCGAAATACCACCGAGTAGTCTAAGACGCCAGCTAGTTCGTAACCACCTATACGACCGTCTATGTGCAACGCAAAATTGCATAATTTGCCCCAATGGTAGAGACGATGACTGCATGAGTTCGGGTACAGTCTATCTGATCTCTTGTAAACCGTGCGGGAACGAATACGTTGGCGAAACGGGTACACCACTCTGCGTACGTATAAAAGAACACCTAGTCGGCGAACGTAAAACATATACCCCACTAGGCACGCATAGGACCCAGAGACATAGCGGGAGGACTTTGAAGTACGTGTCACGATCCTCGCGCAGGAATCGAGAAAACAAGCGCGCAAAACTCTAGAGGCATTCTGGGTTAATTACAAGAATCCGAAAATGAACCGCAGGGAAGAATGCCTCATTATCACGCGTGATATTGGACAGTATATAAGCCTGTTATTTTGATGAGATGGGCACAATACGGTTCCGTGTGAACTCTATGCAGTTGGCCTCAACGTGACATAGTGGAAGACTCATAGAAAGCGGCGAGTGTGCAGAGCTGTGTTAAATGTGATTGAAGTCTTGGTTTAGCGTTTTCTCTGTTTGGTTATGGAGGTGTTTGGCCGAATGGATTGCTATCAACTTGACCTTTCCAAGCTCTGAGGGAGGCGAAATCCGCCGAAACGTTAGCTTGTACGTAAATAAAGAAATAAAATAGCAACTCGTGTTTGCTGAAGAGAAGTAGAAAGAATTATTCAATCAATGCCGAGGTTAATAGAAAGTCGGACTTGGGAGTAACCAAGCAATGTTGTTGAATTTCCGCATGGTTTTGTTTGATACTTCAAGTGTATTTCTGTGTATTTTCCATGCTTACTATGATATCCACCAACTCATTCCTCCGTCCAAAACGGATTTTTTCAAGTGTGGTTGAGAATACCGGCCCATGGACGACTAGCTCCGGTACAAAATGTGTTGGACAAGCCACCGATGGAATACGAAGAGTCGTGAAGCTGTTACGTGATCAACAAGTAAATATTATACCTACATGAGAATATCGAAAGAGAAGCATTTTTGGTCAAAACTATGCGATAAATAGTTATTACAACGCAAAGGAGTTAGCCTTTTCACGACTGCAGCCATTTTCGTGTGGTAAGCCTATCGGAGGGTGTATCTTTGGAGAGCAATTGAAATGCACATTGAAATCAAGATTTACGGCCCGAAACGTACAGCAGCATACAGAATGAGGTTAACGCGCCTGGTCGTGAAAGGGTTAGAAACGCTCATAAGATGTTGGCGGGAACAACCTCCCAAACCATTTCGTAAATAACATCCAACAAGTCCAACTATGTTTTTGTCCTTTGTAACTCATTGAAAACTTTTAAAGTTGTAAATAGCGAATAGATCAGAACTACACTAATTCACTTACTTGAATGACGAAATAGCTGTTTTGGCTCTGAATACTGTAGATTATAGCTTTGAAAACATGGATCGCAAATACAGGCGGTGGCTTCCAGTGCTGATGCAAGTCCATGTGTTTCAATACAGGTTCCATAACGGCGCGTAAAGACCCAAATGAAGCCTGAAATAGAGTTCCAAAGGTGTTAGACAGTTTCCATGCCAGATGTAAAGATATTTTCCCGGGTTAGAGAATTTTAAAATGTATTGAAATGAATAAAATTGAATTGAATAAAATGAATAAAAAATTGGACCGACTATTAAGCACGAAATATTTACCCTTCTTCCCGCTCTAAATGCAATGATGGGCACCATTATCCATCACCAATATGCATATGCCAAAGATATGCGTGAGAACCAGCATGGAAAATCAGCATTAAGCCTCCTATTAAAATGAGTGGAGAGTTCGATGCGTGGAGTATGTTCACGCAACTTGGACGAAGAGATGACACAGAAACTATGAAAGCGACAATATGATGCCAACGGTAAATCGTGGCTGTGGATATGCATGTAGGTTTAGTGTGGCTACGATATTTGGCTGTAGGTAAGACAAAGAAGCGAAGCGTTCGACGTCTCTGGTTGTCTTTCCATATGTGGTCACGCTTTGGCTTACAACTTTCGTAATGAAACTTGTCATGTTCCCGATTTCTTCAAAAGAATTGGTTTTACGTCAATATGATATGTACAGAGTATAAAATACCAATTTGTCGACTAGTACTAAAGATTTAGCTATGCAACCCAATATAGCCTATCACACACCATAGCAGTCAAAAGACATTCCTGTGCCCAACTACAACGTACAACAATGGGTGCATTACCTGCAAAAGCAAAAGCAGACATAAACTTCTGAAAGTACACATATTAGAAAAAAGTAAACCATTTTCAAAAAAATTGTGACCATGGAAACAGTATAGCCACGAGGTACAAATGGCTCTCAGTATAATGGAAATCGACACATATGTATTACATATGTAGTGAAAAATTATTGCGATGATACATACTATCATAGAAATCTCAGCACACTTCAACACTCAGGAAACGCGAAAAAGGAAATTGGTCTGCAGAATAGGAAATACACCACTTGATCTCAACCCTCAACAACGTCCCATTTAAAATAAAAAGCTTACTTTTCCCATTAGTTCACGTAAGCAGCGATCAGAAAGTGTCCGTGGTCCTTCGTCACGATTTGGATCATCGGCGAAAGGTCCGTCAAACAGTAAAGACGACTTGGAAGGTTCATCCAGGTGATCTGCAGACAATGAACCAAGTTAAGGTTGACCGTTTTGAACAAATAGACGAGCGACAGAAAATATTTCGAACAGTACAAAACTAAGCAACATTCCATTCATCAGAGGTCTTAACAATAAACTCTAACGTTCTCCCGCGGCGTTTTTGCTATATTGAAGCCCTTCCACTGACAACCTATAACCATATAGCTATAAAACAGATTTCAAGTACTACGATCTCGATAAATTACAATAGCTAAAAACTATCCAAAACACTTTCAGCGTTAAATAGTTCCAAATCACCGTAATACATTCATGATTATGCGCACGAGCTAGAAATTGACTGTGCCTTTCAATTTTAATATATTCGCTACGGGAATGATTCTTCGACAACAAACGATAAGTTTTCCATTAACGAAATTGGGAACGAGTTACTTCTTAAATTTATAGAAGAGATTTTGTTCTAATGCTTCAAGTACAGCAACTCCTCCCCCGAACAGCTCTCATTTCTTCTACACTTTCGCATGTTTCCTATGGTAACATTTACCAATTATTAAATTTCTCCGTTAACTTTCCCACGCCAATCAGATAAAATTAACTCGTACACTTTCCTATCGAAATTTGATGAAAGTTCTTTGTAAGCATTCCTATGCCAATATGATGGACTTTTCCATACTTAGAACAACCCATGGTAAGGCTACTCTCTCATCCCAAATATACTCTCTCACCCATCATCCTATCTTTGCTTACTGATCTTATTATCGGACTTCCACTTGTACCGTTTTCGGTAGTGTCCCATCGCTACCACTATCATCGCATTTCTATTTTTATAAACAGCTTAATAACACAATTTTGAGATTTTGCTCTTTGGAAACAATTCCCGCGTAGCAAATTCGTACGAAGTCGAGCATTCTATGTCGAGCAGGCGATGATTTCGTTCTGGCAGCTGATTCAAAAAATATATTCCTTTGGCTAACCACTCTATTATAGGTACATGGAAATTTTACAAAATATCTTTTCAACAGGGGGCGCGTGTAGAGGGTGGTCAGAGGAGCCCTGTAATACACCTAGGATCGATCACTGCGCTCCAAACTTAACAAGCCCCCCGTCCCACCGGGTTTAACGAATTGGTACCAGACTTGTCTGGGAGGATAGCAGCATTAGCTAGATACATCGATAGGTCACCGCGAGTCATTTTAAAGGGGAGATATGCACTCAGTCACCTCCAACGATTCTGAATGAAGTCGAATTCATGGCGCCTCCCTCACGGATTGGTCAACGCCGAGAGCTTTGTACTTTTTTATCCTTTCAATTTCAATTTTTCTAAAAATTGAAATCCTCAAAAAATAATAAACCGAATTTCCAGCGAAAGTACGGCGGTTTCAAAAGTCAACGGTACACTGGGAACACCGTCGTGACTTGCTGAACGCTGCTTGTTCAACCGCATTCGAATGGAAAACACGAGTCTTAATGGGGAAAAAACGAAAAACAGAAATGTTTCGTAGACTCCAGAAAATCGGAACCTCTCCGTGGTAGAATGGGAGGAACTGCATCATGTAGGTCCGTTCACTCTAATGATTTTCACTGTGATCAATAAGCTTCAGTACGAGACGAATTAAATCAGCCCAAATTTGCAAACAAACACATTTTCGTAGGTTTAAATCTATTCGCATTTTTGCCAATAACCTTATCATGCCTGGGTTCTTACCAAAGTTCATTAATTGTGATAAAAATAAGTAAGATTTAAAGAATCTTACCAATGCATACAAAATGTTTTGCTTTCTTTTGAGGAACCGTCAAAACATAGTTCCCGTAATCTTAACAATTTTATTTACTGCCTTTTTCTTTTTAATGGCAGAGTATGCTGCGAAATATAACTCGTATACAATGCTGAGATATTTGCAAAACTCCGGTAGCGCACTTCACCACCACACCATCCGGGTCCTTCGTTTTGCCTGTCTCTCAGCTAGTTCTACGGGTGATTTCTGATGGCAAAAGATCAATCGAACTAGCTGAGAGACAGGCAAAAGGAAGGACCCGGATGGTGTGGTGGTGAAGTGCGCTACTCCCCGGAAAGGACAATAGCACGCGTTCGTTCCCCACCGCATACACCTGCGGTCCGGAGTTTTGCAAATATCTCAGCATTATACAATAGTTCCCGCATTTTTTCCTCAACAGAGATTTGCATGTCAAAATTATTCAGTGAAGTTCATGGCTTCAGTCAAGAACCATAGAAATGTGAATTTCGTTAACAGCGTGCCTTGAAAATATGAACTCTACACGTGTTTAAGATTACATCTGAAAAAAGTCACCTACGCCGTTGGACGACAGAGCAAAGCAGCCTCCTTGACAGCTAGACTGATCTGAAGCGATTGTCCATACTGATTGATTGACATTGATCTTCGTCTTTTTTGTCTTCCCATCGGAAGAACGAACCACCGTGGACAATCGATTCAGATCAATCTAGCTCTGAAGAAGGCGAATGCGCAGAAAACATTAGCCGAATAAAGGTGTTTGCTTTTCAATAAAATAATACATAGTGATTAGACTTGCTGAGGTTAAAGGAAAATCGGTTTTAAAACAGGAAACTGGATAAATTTATTGCATGAAAATTAAAAATTGATTATGCTAGAGTTGCATCGCAACGAAGCTTACGCATTTACCGGATTTCCTAACAAGCCAAACCAAAAACGAAAATGACGTAAAATAACGACAAAAAAAGAAAATCATACGAACGAAATAAGTACCTGGTTCTTGAAGATTAAAAAGTATTGAAGGCACAATTTTGTCCATGTGTTGTTTCTCCCAAATATTCGGATGGAGATCGTCAGTGACCGATTTCCATACAACACCTGAAATTCTCGAAAGCGTAAACTAAATCTTTACTCCACTCGGTGAAGTAATATGGCGTTTAAGACAAAAATGAATCTACTAGTTTTCGACAGTGAAGACAGAAAGCATTTTTAGAATTTTCGGATGGAACCGAAAACGTCTATGTGTTATCCTTATAGTATTGGAGCGATAATTATAAATATATCATGAGCTGTCCACAATGAAGCAGCAGTAGCATTTTACCCACTCATTTGATGGTTTCCGATAATGTGTAACTAATGTTAGCAAACTATCATTACCAGCAGCACCTTCATCAGAACAAATTACCCATGTTTGGCACACATAATGATAAATAGAAGTGATGAAGACTCAAGCATGCACAGTTTCATCTAACTAGTAAATTAATGACCGGACAAGACTCCTTCCATAAAGTCCTGAAACAAATTCTATGGCTTTCCAGTTTGACCACAACGTTCCAGCAAGTGAGCATGTTGTTGTCAGGACGGTAGTGTTACTGGATTTTCAGACATAAACGTCAAAATGGTTCTCCGTCTGAAAAGCCTTGATGAGAAGATGAAGAACCCGCAGTAGGTTAAGGTTCGACAATAAGGAATACCCTCGAACTACGATGAGAGACTTAAAGCACTGGAATGCATCAGCACGGCACCGTTTAAAAACCCAAAATATTTGCAGTGCCAGCGATTGAGCGATGATTTAGAATGCCACAACTACTAGCAAGAAAGAGAAAAAAATGGCCGAGAACAGTTAACGTACCATAAGGCAATAAATAAAACTAGCCTTAAAAAAATACACTTAGAAAAGCGAATAGCACACTGCTTTAACAGAAACCAGTTTGAAATTCTTTTTTTTTCAAAATTCCCAGATACCAGTTCAATCATTCACACCTAAAATATCAGTACCTATTGCTCACACAAACAGTTACAAGCACCCGCTTTCGTTCATATCGTAGCAATATCTTTTCACAGTGCAACGTATCAAGAAATAATGTGCGATACAATGCACAACTACCAGGCAAGACCCACTGAATTGTAAAGAACTTTAATGTGTTGCTTCGGGAGACTACAGAGAGGCGTAAGTAAGTGTCAAGAGAGGATACTACTAGCCTCACTGATCTTCCTTGCAAGTTGCAAGTGCAAGAGAATGTCATAATTATATTTTAGCACGACATTACGCAAAATAGAACCACAACAATAGTGAGGTTTTTCCAAAACCTAGGGACCCCGTTACGGTGGCTCACGTGCTGCCAGCTGCACCACCGACGCCTTTGTTTTCCGTATCTCAAAACCAGCTTCTTACCCTAAAGATGTCTTCAGTAATCACATTTCAACGGGAATGATCTAGTGTGCACAAATCGATATTGAACCTATTTAAGCTGATTCAGGGGTCGGGCTCCTTGCTTCTGCTGCGCCGATTTGGCACATACTTTCTGTATTTACTAGGACGTATTCATACATGCGTGCAGGGGTGTTCTCCTTTATACAGATTGTATTCCACGAGTCAATTCGACGAAAAGCCTGTAATCAAGTGACAAGGAAGTATATGGATGGCAATTAGGGGTCCACCCTAACAAATAGGCTCCACGTCTACTCTGGGAGAGATTGGCAAGCAATCGCCGAAAATACCCAGACTCCTCGTTCAGAACTCACGAAGCTATACGCGATTATGAAAAAGTTAAACACATTGAAACGATAGGATACTATGTCAAATACAACTAGAACAATGTTGGTATTTGCAAAACTCGGACCTCGGGCCAGCTTCAAACCCGTGATTACACTTCCCCAACGGGCATTCGTAGTAGGCATTCAACCATATCAATACTAACCAGTACAATACATGATAGATTAATTTTAAAACTGTTTAATTTACAAGTACAAGTTTCCTTCATCTGGAACACTCTCGTATGTATCTTTGGCAACGAATTTCCCATAACATCTATCTCCGTTAGTTTTAGCTTCTGCACTCCAGTTAAAATGCACACCTCGTAGTCCCTTCAATCCAGCACTGCGAATTTTCCGCCAATCTTCGCCAGTAGTGGCGTGACACATTTGCGAAAATTTCGAAATGAAGAAATCGTATTGTCTGTCGTACGATGGACTGCTCTCCTCAATATTCGAAAATGTCACGAACGAGTCCGTTGCCAATTGCTGAAAAATAATGTATTCGCCTGCTTGCAACGTAAAATAGCTGTTCTGCTTTCTTTCACTTTATTACCAAAATTTTATTAAATATGCTGCATTCGCCATCACTATTAAGGTACACTTATTAGAAACTTGTAACATACTCACGACGATACTTAGATATGAGAAAACTCGGAACCTCAGGTGAGCTTCGAACGTGCCATTACGCTTTCTCGAGACTCATGTGCTACCGACTACACTCATTGAGGACCTTGTTTTACCTTTTCCTCAGTCAATTTTTTACGCAAGCGGTGTTACCAGTAATAATCCGTCATCAAACTTGTAACGTGTATTTTACTGGAAACGCTTTTCTTCGGTTCTCATACTCGAAACGAAGCCAAATTTACAGCCACCGCTCCTTTTAATTCACAAAAACTGGGCAAATCAGAAGACATTCATACAATATGGATGCGAGAAAGCAAAGTGAATGCATGTGCTCGGATGTGCACAACATATGGTCCAGAGTCTTGCAAAGAAAGTGGAGTGACCAAGAAATGCCAGCGAACTATGTAATAGGAATACAAATTGATAAGTGAATGAAGTCACAAGTACAAGTAGGGCATCCAAGGCGCGAATGTGGCTTAAACGCAGGCCAGAAGGTGCCACGTATTTGCACTGAGACAGCTGGATTCAGTGCGGTGCCTTCCCTGCTTCACTGATGGTTTGACTCATAGTTGTAGGTTTTTCATGTTCTCGGTGCGGTTTACGCGTATGCGAAATGTGTTGCCCATATCAATTTGTCCGTAATATCGTGCATTCATGTGTCAACGGAAGTGTACGCGAGGTGTCCACCATCTAACATTACCATTACTCCGTGTGAGCCCTTCAAAATAACCGGTTGAACTCTCGCCCCCAAAATTAGAAATAACGAGCTCTACCTGGAGCTAGAATAGCGTATGAGGAAGATATGATCTAAAACAACGAAGGATGAAGATACTTTTGATGCGCGCCGGGAGTTATGGGTGGCAGGTAGTAGCGAAATCGTTAGTGATGCAGTCGATAAGATGCTGCTTCGACCTTCTCTTCAACGCTCCTCTCCGATCCACGTGGAAACCCTATAGCTCAGCTATCTTCAAGACTAAAAAGTGAATCAACTAGGCCAGCATTCTATGATGTTCACAAAGAAGATGAAATCCTCAAGAAACAGTAAAAACATGCGAAATGTTCGAAGGAATTTGTGGACGATGAAAGTGATGAAGACGAATAGAATGCAAGTACTGGCATCCGCACAATAAATGTGATTACGGGCCGTGTAGTAGCAAGAGCAGTAATAGCTGGAGGTATTCAATAATTAACGGGATTACAGGCGATTACATATGGTACGAGTGATAATTACATCTATCTATCAAGATGCTATATTAAATGAACTCAAATTTATGAAAACTGATATGAAATATGAAAATATGTGAATAAAACTGTGACATGAAGTCATTATTAACGAGGAATATAAAACGAAGTTTTCAAAAGTCCGTGATAACCTCTGGGAAATATAATGTAGATTAAAAATAAATCCCTAAAGTTTCCATTCAACTTCGAATAAGATTTTGGAGAAAAAAACTCCAGCGAGTTGTGTTATGAGCACAATTCCAATACCAGGATCCACCAACGTCGGTATCAAACTAGTAACATGGTGACAAATCTCCCTCTGATCCACAAGGGCTGCGACTGCCTATGGTGGTGACGAGCTGGAGCACACTTCAGTCTGGCTCGCCTCGGGATTCCAACGAACCACAATGGTTAACCCAGCAAAACTCAAAAACACTAGAAATTATGCTGAGACCCACACAACCAGTGAAGACGGGCCATCTAAGTATCCAAGTGTTATGTATACAAACCGAATAAACAATTCACTACTGTCTCCTAAAAATCGAACCAACCAGGATCACCGATAACCATATTAACCATCGAGTAACTCAAGCACATTCGGGTATCCATCCATCTCTGTCGCATGTCCACATTGCCAATGAATTCGGATTTCGACAACCCCATATTTTTATGCACTTCACATCTTCTTTTGTCAAAAACTTACTAACAGACAGACTTTTCAGTGTGTTATCAGGTATAGCCCTAGCTTGTCGGAGTCTCTCAAAACAGATGTGCAGATCATTGATTGGAATTAATCTTGAACAACCATTTATATTTCTCCCAACTGTTTTCGGACCTCGATGGAATCGGTGTGCAGGAAATAATCCTCATGAATGCAAACATAACCAGTCAAATATGCATGGCTGTGTACATGGAAGGTACAAGTTAGTCAGGTATGGTAGAGATGAAGAGCTTGTTCCCTTAATCTCAGGTCAAGTTCAAAATCGCTTTAAGTCTTCTCTCAAACCTCTTTCCTACATTTATAACACGTAGTTCCGCAACTAATAGGCATTAGGCCCTCCACATCGGGAAGACGCGTGAAATTCGAAATTGCAAAGGAATAATGAACACCCACTTCCATCTTCGGATTGTTAGACTCCAACAGTTTCTGCACCATTTTCAAGTGATTCTCACTGAAATGAGGCAGACTAGGCGAGCTATGACACGATTGAAGCAGCTGGTCCATTGCTTCCACAGCGATCTAAAGGCATTTGCATTCTATGTAAACTATTCTTGTTCCACTTCCCTTCAACTTTTTCGTCTCTAAGAAAATTCTCTACAGAAGATTTAAATGGGAAATGCTTCGAAAATATCAAAATCAGAAAAGAAAACGCCAAAGGGAATAAAACGCTCTTTGAAGAGATTTACTGCCGCAGACTGTTCATAAACTGAATTTCACTGAGGGAATAATTTCAAAAAAATTTAGTTTCTTGCAACCTTATAGAAACAGCGTTGCAACGAGAAAAAACTAAACTATACATTTAGTAGAAACAATCAAAAAAGTCCTAAAAAAATCTATCCAGATCCGAATTTATTATATGGTATACGTAAAATTAGACATTATTAGATTCCACCGAACCTTAACCTGTACAAAGCGCAATCGGCCAAGATCTCTGCTCATACGTGACACCAAGTACTCTCCAATTCGTTCCAGTTTCTCAGGATGCGAGATTGCATAGAAGATGAGCTTCTGCATATTCGACGATATAAGGCCATCAGTGATAGCTCGAGGATAGATCGAATCCACAAGACGCCGATATCTGCGAACGGAAACCTTAGCATTACGACCAAATCTATTTTTCAAAATATGGTCCATAAATACCGCTTACCAGCAGGTTACTGAACATTTACATATGTAGCAAGAAATTTGTGTAAATTTCAATTAATTCGTCACTTTAATAATAAATTATTACCTCTTGTCTATGTTTCTTTACATCTTCCTCAGTGATATCGTCAATGATCACACCCACCAGGAATTTTTCCATGTTTGCCGTATTAGATTAGTAAAGACTATAATGGATGCAACGATTTTTTCATGAATCTATCTAAACATCATTGCCAGATAAGAACAGTACAAAACCAAACAGCAGTTCAGTACATCTTTAGCAAACAAATCCGTTAAGCAGCACCTCCGAGGCCAACATTGCTTATTCAGATCAAAGCATGAAAAGATTGACAAATTTTCATGGTAAAGTCAACATTTTTACAGCACCAATTATACTTTAAGAAAATGTTGACTAAAGCTTAATTAATTGAATACGATGGACACCTAGCTTCAAAAAGCCTACTTTAGATTTACTTCTTTCATTGATTAGTTAACATGAGATTCCCATGACAGACTTTCTATTAACCTCGGCAAAGGCCAAATAATTCTTTATAATCTTGTTAAGCAAACGCGAGGTGTTATTTTATTCTTTATTCACGAACAAGCTAATGTTTCGACGGATTTCGCTTTCCTCAGAACATGGAAAGGTCAAGTTGACAGCAATCTATTCGGCCGAACACCTCCATAACCAAACAGAGAAAATGCTGAACCAAAATTTCAATCACATCTAACATAGCTCTGCACACTCACAGCTTTCCATGAGTTTTCCACTGAATATATCACTTGGAGACCAACCGCACAGAGTTCACAAGGAATCGTAATGTGCCCATCTTATCAGAATCACAGGCTTGTACACTGCCCAATATCACACGTGATAATGAGGCATTCCTCCCTGCGGTTCATTTTCGGATTAATGAAATTAATCCGGAATGACCTAAGAATTTTACGCGCTTGTTTTTCCGACTCCTGTGCGAGAATCCTCACTTCTACTTCAAAATCTTCGCCGTTATATTTCTGTGTCCTACGCGTGCCTAGTGGGGTACTTGGTTTAACTTTAAGTTTACCGAATAGATGTTCTTTTATACGGATGCAGAGTGGTCTACTCGTTTCGCCAAAGTATTCCTCTCCGCACGCTTAACAAGAGGTCAGATAAACTGTACCCGAACTCATGCGATCACCGTCTCTAGGGCAAATTATGCAATTTTAGGTTGCACATAGACGGTCATATAGGCGGTTAGGAACTAGCTGGCGCCTAAGGGTACTCGGTGGCGTTCATTTTGGACGACGTTAATTTGGACGTTCAGGAATGGAAGCCAGTTTTCTTTCGGTTTCTCTCGGGTGAACTTGATATACTATAACGGTTCGTTCAACAACTCGAAACATTGTCCATTTCCCCTTGTGTTGAGCAAAGCACAAAACAGTTATCTATATATCTACAGCAGAGTAGTAAAGTAAAAAGAGTAACGGCCTGAGATCGGTCACTGGTGCTTCCACCTTGGACAATGGTCGGCTGTGGGAATTACTGCAATGGCAAGACTTGGTCCCAGACGCTAACCCATTGCCAACCCTCTTATTTGGGCGCAGTACTTTCCGAAAAAGCGCGTTCTGCCTCTGATCCACATCGCGGTGAGGACCTGGGTACGGCCTTGCAAGGTTACGTCAGGATTCCAAGGAGGACCAAGTTGCACAACCAGCAATAAGCCAGCCTCAGTACTCCACATAGTGGGTGCTCCCGCCTATGACGTCTGGCGGTGAAACGACCGGTGAGAGGCCAGAAAACCTCGGGCTGCGCAGGACGTCATTGGAACCGGATCTGACGAACACACTCACGACACGCCATGGAGATTGTTTATTACTACGCACATATAATGCCAGAAGACTCCAAAGACGCCGATCTTCACGCCCTTCTTGTAGTAGTAGATCGCATTAAATTTCAAGTGATCGCATTACAAAAAACAAAAATCAAGAAGACCGACATACGCCAACTAAACAACAGGACTCTTGTGATCTGCGGAGAAAAGTTCTCGTCACGAAATGTCGGTGGCGCAGGCTTTGTCGTTCACCCGTCCATTGTCCATCTCGTCGACTCATACGTGATCCTTTCTCCTCGCATAGCCGTCCTCCGTCTTTAACTAACGCATTATAAAAAGATCACTATCATCAACTGCTACTCACCGACCGAAGCAGCTGGTGAGTACGAATTAAATGCGTTCTGCTATCAGTTGGAGGAAGTCATCCGCAATGATAAAGCATATCATAAATTTGTTGTTGGAGACTTCAACGTCAGAATAGGAAAGGCCAATGTGAGCGAATACAGGATCGGAAGTTTTGGATTAGGAGAAACGAATGAGAATGGCAACCGTCTCGCAGGACTCCTGTCAGCACCATGTCCTTTCCATGGAAACTCGTTCTTCGAGAAGAAAGAAAGCCGCCGTTGGACATGCGAGTCTTCCAACGGCATGACTCATGCGGAGATCGACCATATCCTGACAAATAGAAGATGGTGCCTACTTGACACATCGGTAGTCCCGTCATTCTGTACTGGTTCCGATCACTGCCTTCTTGGCGCGAAGATTCGATTCAACCGCAAGCTGGAAAAGAATTCTCTTCATCGACCACAAGGAAAAAGTTTAGCTGTATACGACGAGAACATTCTAAACGAAGTGCTGTCCAAACGTGGCTGGCAGATTAAAGAACACCTAACCGAAGACTACGAGCTGCTTGCTGAAAAACTGAAAAGTTGTGCCGAGTAAGCTTCAGTTCCTCAAGCAAAAAGATCGATCGCATCTCCATCACTACTAAGGAGTTGCTAGAAAAGAGAAAGAAACTGCAGCTTGATCCTACTACAACACGCTTCACATGGCTAGTAATAAATGGCAGCTTCCGAAGAGCTTTGCAGGAAGATCTACAACGGTACAAGCAGAAAAAAAACTGGAAGCAGCAGCGAAAAAAAGCAATCTGAAAAAATGCCGTTGGGACATGTGTGATTATGATGTTCCGCTGTCAGCGCTGATGAAGGGGGATAGGATCGTCAAAACTTCCCGCCATGATATGGAATTAATAGCGGAAACGCTCTACACCAACCTTTTCCATTCCACGAGCCCCGTCCCGGGTCCTAATATTCCCACTCGAGAAAAATCACCTGGAATTCTTCCGTCGACGGTACGAGTTGCGATAGAAAGCATGAAGAGGCACAGCCGCAGAACCAGACAATGTCGCCATAGATTTCCTTAGAGCTGGAGGTCACAATATTTACATGTACCTCTTGCAAATAATATGGCAGCTTCCTTTCAAAAGGAAAAAATCCCAGAGCAGTGGAAGACGTCGCGCACGGTCATCCTGCCCAAGAAAGGAGACCGAAGGGATCATCGTAACTATCGTCCCATATACTTGTTGAGTGTACTCTACAAGCTCTTCACGAAGATTATCCTCTCGCGCATATCAAGGACATTACATGATGCGCAAGCAGTTGAGCAAGCAGGATTTCGAAAAGAATTTCGCTGCATGGACCACATCCAAACCGTGTCCAGGGTCATCGAAGTTTGTTGGGAATACCACTTGTCTCTAGTCCTAACCTTTGTCGACTATGAGAAAGCGTTTGACAGTGTCGAAACGAATGCAATCCTATCAGCGCTTGTCGACCAAGGAGTCAAGCCCTCCTGCATAAGGAGTCTGTCCGACTGTTATCGGAACTGCACTACGAAAATGCAGTTTTCCATCGCCCTCTTACAATACCCATAGGAAAAGGGGTTCGACAAGGCGACACAATATCGCCAAAGCTGTTCAGTGCCGCACTGCAGTGGATAATGAAATCACTCGATTGGGATGACAAAGGCATACGTATTGATGGAAAACTCCTATCGAACCTTCGTTTTGCCTACGATATTGTCATCTTCTCAAGAAGTCTTAGCGAAGCAAAAGTGATGATCAACGAGCTCAACGAAGCGCGGAAAAAGATTGGATTTCGCATAAATCGAAAGAAGACCAAGTTAATGAAAAACCATGGTGCGAAAGCGAAAAAACTGAATTGGATGGGCTCTCTCATCGCAGAGACCACCTCGTACGTCTACCTTGGGCGATTAATGAACATAGAAAAGAACATGGAGGAACTAAGTAGAAGGAGAGCAGCTTGGGTCGCATTCGAGCCTCTCAAAGAAGCCATCGACCAACTGAAAGACCCGAAAATCCGCGCTTAATTCTGCTTCTACCGTCCTCCCAGCGCTCTGTTATGCTGCAGAGACTTGGGTTGATATTCAACTACGTCAAGAATAACTGCCACGACCGACTTTCTATTAACCTCGGCATTGATCAAGTGATTTTCTTCGTATTTTTGTTGAGCAAACGCGAGGTGTTACTATTCTCTGTTCACGATTAAGCTGACATTTCGGCGAATTTCGCCTTCCCCAGAGCCGCTTTCTATGAGGTTTCCACTAAGTATGTCACGTAGAGACCAATCACGTAGACATTATACTTCCACGTGATTTCTGTGCGGTCAAAACGTCAGCTTAATCGTGAACAGAGAATAGTAACACCTCGCGTTTGCTCAACAAAAATACGAAGAAAATCAAAATCAAAATTACGTCAAGAATACTTCGCACTACTCATAGAGCGCTTGAGCGATGTCTTTTGAAATATAACCGGCACTCTCAATAAGTAGCCGGAATGCGAAGCTCTGACTTTCGAAATCTGTCACATCTTCAAGATCCAGGAGAATATACATCGAAAGCGAAACATAGATAAGCCGGTCACATAATGAGAAGAGCTGACGACAGATGGACGAAAAGAACAGTAGAGCAGATTCCAAGAGAATGCAAACGTCCCCTTGGACGACCACCTACACGTTGGGCGGACGTGTTCGTAAACAAAGTTAATCAGCTGTACCCGCAGCTGCAGTTGCTTCGCAGATCACGGTATGAGACTCGCAAGCGCTGCCATGCTCGAACAAGACCACCACCACAGACTACGATTGCGCGAGAAAGGAACGAATGGCATATGTGCTTGGGGTCCGCACAGCTCGTGAAGACGGACCATCCAAGTATCCAAGTAAGTACTTTCCACACCATCTGAACATCGAGCAGCTCAGGCATTCTTTTAAGAGTGTCATCAATTGCTCTGTCTTGAAGTCGTACATGTTTATTTCTCCTTCCTGTTGTATAACAATATTACAAGCTGCTTGAGGACCGGTCTAGAGAATTCGGTTAGAATAATCAAAATACCATCGAGCACACTAAAAAGCCAACTGGTTCGCAACCGCCTGTATGACTGTCTATGTAAAACGCAAAATTGCATAATTTGCCCTAATGTAGAGATGGTGATTGCATAAGTTCGGGTACAGTTTATCTGACCTCTTGCGAAACGTGCGAAGACGAATACATTGGAGAAACGGGAAGACCGCGCGGCCCCCGTATAAAAGACCTAGTCGGCAAACTTAAAGTTAAGCCAAGAACCCCACTGGGCATGCATAGGACACAGAGACATAACAGAGAAGATTTTGATGTAGAAGTGACGATCCTCGCACAGGAGTCGAAAACACAAGCGCGTAGAATTCGTGAGGTATTCTTGATTAATTCCAAGAATCCGAAAATGAACAGCAGGGAGGAATGTCTCATTATCACGCGTAATATCGGGCAGTATTTGAGACTGTTGTTTCGATGTGAGAGGCACATTACGCTTCCGTGTAAACTCTGTGCGGTTGGTCTCCACGTGACATATTCAGTGGAAAACTCACAGAAAGCGGTGAGTATGCCATAAAGCCACTATGTGTTCACTGTGATTGAATAAACAATAATATCTTGGCTTAGCACTTCCTCTGTCTGGTTATGGAGATGTTTGGCTGGCTAGATTGCGATCATCTTGAACTTTCCAGGCTATGAGGAAGGCTAAATCCGACGAAACGTCAGCTTGTTTTTGAATAAACAATAAAATAACACCTCGCGTTTGCTCAACAAGAATATGGAGAATAACATGAGATTGTTTTAAAAAAAACCTATTATACGTTCCTTGAAGTTATTATTAACACATTCGCGACAAGCCTTGGTTTACAAAACATATCTGGACGCATTGTGGACGATGTGCACTTTGTTCTCATCAAAAATTTCTTTTGCGATACATCCTCTACTAAACAGATAGCTCCCTAGGACAGATGGTAGAACAGATGTGCTCAAGAAAGGCTATTATCTACACACCAAAATTTACAAAAAAAAACTCGGATGAATATATTCGTTTAACACTCCCGCAACGATGCCTAATTTAGGTTTTTGATTGGTTGGACGACGCCTCTTATTTGCGCTCACTGTGACACCTATAAGTGTCACACCAGCGATTCCGGCAGTTTTTCTGTGGCGCCGCCGCTTTTAGCACGATTTCCGTCCTACAAATTGGTTTTTCTTTGGGTTCCTCTGCGCTTATCTTACCCTATGCATGTTCTTTGTTCCTTTCTCCACCCTCCCATGTTTTTGGTGTGTATACAACCCCTGTGTGTCAAAAAAACACTAGTCTACAACGATAAACGTACGGGTGTCGGCATTTAATGAAATTAAATAAGTTATGCATGGAATATTACGATGGTGGCCTTCTGGTTTTCATATCCTCTCATTCCATACAATATTCCGAAGCCATCATAGAAAACAATGAATTGCTTGTCAAAAGTGATGCTGCACACTGCATTCGATGCCAGTTCTCCGAGCAGAACCACTTCTGCGCCTCTTCACTGGCTACAGACTTTTCAACAGCAATATTCTTTCGCCGGAAAATTAGAAATTAAGTGGGAAACTAATAAGGAGACACACTTCCATGGTCGATGGCAGCTCCAACATCTGCGTTGGGTAGACTACCGAATGAATGATAACAAGTCCAAAAAAAACTTCTGTGCACTAGAATAAACGACCGAAAAGAATATGACACATATAGTTGTCATGGCGACCACTCCCAAAACTTCATTATGATACCTAGAGGTATCACTTGTCGTAAGAGTGTTAAACGAGCCTCAAAGCAGTATCTTGCTTATTTTACAAATGGAGTAAAACCGAAAGCCCTTACTAATGAGGAGTTTATATCATATTGCTCCCAGAGTGACTCGCGAATTTATCTAGCACGCATTGATTTCAATGCACAAGATGAGCGTCGAAAAATTATGCGCAGTAATTCGCGGCCACCGCAGACAATTAGCACCATAGCTAGCATGTTAAAGCCTATAATACAAGACGCTGCATATAAGAAGAGGATTGGAAAATGACAATACATACATATATATATATATAATATGTATACTATACATTATATATATACATATATGTACATATATATACATATATATATACAATGTGACATATACATATGTACCTAAATTTCAAACCACTTAGAGACTGAAAAACAGTATTGAAGCAATTGAGAGGGCCTACAATAAAATCGAACACTTTGGAGGACTTTCTTAATAGAAATTTCAGATGCCGAGATTACTTACATCGCGTATTAAAACCGTAGTAAAATCTATGCCAAACTCCTATAAAGTTGGTGGTGAGCACAAAAACCCACTATAACCAAATCGATGTCACACGCCAGCGAGTGGATAAAAATTGAAAAACGTAAAACCGACGTTACATAACATTTCACTCTTTTGCCTATTTGCTGGAAACAATTTCGCCGAATTCAAGTAATCGAAAAGCCATATGAATCTTTCGAAATATCTTCATTAAAGCTCATCAGATGAAATAAATGAAAGTAAAGAGTGGAGTCTAGGTAGCTCCTGGAAGAAAGCATCGTGGTAAAATCGCAAGATTGCAAATGAATAACTTTAAGCCTTTCGCTCACCTTGGTTTACACGGCGTACAACAGCAAAGGTCATTCATTTCGAAACTTCGTTTTACTTCTCGCCAACGAGCAACACAGCACACTTGATGCCAGTCGATCACTGTCCAGCTCCAACTACTACCAGCTTGCTGATCGTCTCTGATTATTTCTGCCGACAAACGGTCATGATGGCCAGCGCACCATGTACACGGGAACTGAGATGGCATTATTAAGTGCAGTAGCAGATAACTAAGCGATTTCTACTAAGTACGGAAGAGTTCTTGGTATCGTATGGGTCTTGGTTAGTGCAACTTGGTAGACTGATCATCACTATGGGTTTCGTTCTGTTGAATGAATCATCGAAACGCTACCACCATCTTGGAATTCTATGGAATATCACCAGTGTTAGAGGCGACGTCCGTGATGACAAACACCGCCGTCAGCGTTCATACATGCAATAGTAAACGCAATCCTCCGATGCACTGACGGACGGACCGACGGATGGGCACGCCCGCCCACCATCGAGTGGCAGCCTCAGGCATGACAACCTAGAGAACTACGTAAACAACACTTTTCTGGCTAAGAGAAACAAAAGAAAACTATTCGCCTCTACGAGATACAACATAAGAAGCTACTGTCACAAAGGAATTTGAAAGACAACACTTTTTCTTTGCATGAAAACTCAACATTCCATCTCGAATTCGTATATCAGAATGCCGTATTCGACGAAAAAGATGAAATTAAATATGGAATAACAGAAAGTTTAGGCGTAAACATCATCAGTTAGACAACGAGACCACGACAGAGAAAGCACACTGATCGATTCGAAAACTAAAGCGAACCATTCGCTCTGTTCCCTCTCGTCGAAAAGCATGTATTCCGTTCACTTCCATAACATACTTCTCTACTCCGAATGCGGTCATTATGTCATTAAGAACGCCAACTCAGACCAAACATATAAATCCAGAAGAAAAAAACCAAACACTTCGAGCTGACGTCACCAAACTCCCTACACAGCGAGGTCGTCAGAATGCACTTCAGGTAATCGATTCTCATTCTTCACGTAGGCTTTTGACTTATGTTCCAAGAGAAATGAAAAGCATATATTAACCACAACAGAACTGGTTAGTGTCAAAAATATGACTCTACGAATTTCGTAATGAAATCTACGAAGTCTATCTCAAAGCCCAAAAATAAATATAGAGGTAGACATCACAGGACCTCAAATTATAAAAACGATAACCATTTCCAACGTCATCGAAGCTAGAAAAAGTGCTGAACACCATGAACTCCTCCAGAAAAGCGCTGTTTTTCCATAGATCCCTTACTATTGTGGTCAATGGAGCAGAGATATTTAGCTGTTTTATGCAACAAACTCCTCTTAAGTGATTCAAAAAGCATCCATCATAGGCATCACATTGAACTCCCCAATATTTTGCTCCTTGTTCTAAGTAGCACAATAAAGGACCAGCATACTGTAACACCAGAAATATGGAACAGAATTTCCTTCGACGAAGACAACATCAATCACCCACATCACTAACGATCGGACTCGATAAATAGCAAAAACTTGCAATATAGAAACGACTCCCACCCAGTATTTTTCTAGCTCATAGCGATTCCGCACATTGCATTCGCAGTAGTCCATATAGCGTTCGTACTTCCATGACCAATTTCGATGGCATGTTGAGAATTTGTCGACACAGGGCATCGGAGACGCATTGACAGTAAATCAGAGGGAACATTGGTAATACCGTTGATACGACGTACTGATAGCAGGTCTTCAACAATCAACTCCAAATGATCACTGGCAAATCCATGCTCTTTCCAGACGAGTGTTTCCTCGTACCAACTTCAAATACGTTCAGTTTGCCTTCGCAATAGCACTAGTCAATGAAAGAATGGTTTAGTGGTGAGTCGTCAACCAGCCAGTTGATAGCGTGTAATGTGACGAACACGATTTCCCATACGTCCTCCTTGTTAATATTCGGTAAATCCAACATTTCGATGGCAGCACTTTATGATCCATTGCTTTTTCACACATAAATTTCGAAACCGTTAATGATGATATCACCAGGAGGCTATGTACCTTTAGATAAATGTCAACACTAAGTCCACCTAGAACTTTATCGATCTGAACACTTTTTTCTACTACGATTTCCTTGATACAAGAAATAGTGGCAACTATACAATAGTAGGACAATGAGAGCCCGTCACCGTGATACTTTGGTAGAATATCCGATATATCAATTATGGATATGATACACTGTTTTCAGGAGTCATAGAGATGAAGGTAGGAATAATAACCCACAACAGAATATAATAAAAGGTAATCGAATATACAGCTCGTGACCTCGAGATTTTGAGACAGTGTCAAAGATGAAAGGGAAACAACAATGCTTAAGTGATAGACTGCGCCTTGAGATGAGCATATTTCATGAGCAATGAATACTGTGATTTCATAAAATTCCAGAACCCAATAATGCTTTCAAGAGAGCAAAGAAACATATTCTCTCATCTACCTGCAAATAGTAAAGCAGTATGGCACAGCTTTCAACCAATCGAAAAGTAAGTAAAATAATGCGTCACCAACGATTATCCACGAGCGGAAATATGTTCACAGATATTAAACAATCAATTTTAAAACAGTATTAGATATTCTAGACAACGTTAAACTATGAAGAAAATTTTTACACTAAGAAAGTACATCGACATCATTCACAACTACTCACTACACCATTGTTTCAAGACTGACCACCTTTCAGCAACTGGCCTTCCGAAATACTCCATTTGCATGGGTGAATAGCGCTTGAGAGGTCCACCAAAATCTCTGAACCCGATTTCGTTTATTACTCATCGAGAAAACAAAATACTAAGTCACCTTGTATGTACACAACAAAAAACAGCTAAACTTAGCAAAACATAACTACATGGTAAACTTATGAGTGGTACAGAAAATAAATGAGAATGTATTTAACACATAGAATTTGTCTTTAATTTACGGTCGACATTAACCAAATAGAGGTCACACGCGTCCGAAAATGACCTGGCTTCTCGGACTTAAACACAAATTTCACAGTTCAGTCAACTTTTTTTTAATAGAAATAAAAACCATTAGAATGCACATATTTTTTCCTGAACACAAATTTGCTATCTCTCTTACTCTCTCTCTCTCTCTATCACGAAAGTCTTCGAATTTACGCGCGGGATCAGCTGCTTCTTGAGGATTTTGGTTTTCTCTGTAAATGACACTGAACGCTGATTCCTGATTCAGTAGAATCTCTCCAGATAGTCTAGGAATAGGAATAATCTTGCCGGGGGCGTTCTCAAATCCTTATAACATTAGGTCATTAGCGTTTCTGAATTGTAGGGAGATTTCCGAATAGTAATATCAATCCATCGATCCCGGAGAAATAGGTGGCCTGGTTGGTCCACTGGGGTTCGAAACGGAGCCTTTCACTATAGAACGGTAGCTTTAATACTGTGCTACCCACTCCACATATATAATTCTGTACCATGATGCCGCAAACGATTCCGCGCCAACCATCCCAATTGGGCAAACTGGTACAATACTTACTTGAAATGATAAAAACATTGGTATGATATATCAGTAAAACTACGGTGTACATGGCTCAAATATAGATTCAAGCATTTCTACGCCGGTTATTGGAGTCAAATGGCAAGGTTTTTCTATACGATCTATACGACCAATTAATCGAGTGCTCTTCTATTATAATTGTAGAAAATTATTGGCAACTGTCTAAAATCCCGGAGGTTTAACAGCAGATTAGATAACAACTGATTAATCATCTTTGCTTCGTTAATACAACCAGGGAGCAATTTAGTGGATTAACAGGTAATTAAGAGCTCCTGTAGCCAGCAATTCGTTAGAAGTGCCCTGCAACACATATGACATCTCGTACCCTGTGCTCACTAGACACGACCTTGAAGAAAAGTGAAGAAAAAAGTTTCATGGCCATAACTTCATTGATGTACAGCAGAACAGCGGTACCTACTGGGCAAAATCTATGGATACTAATGGTTTTTATCGCAATTAATAGAGCTTACGATGAGCTTAGATATGATTGTTTAAATTTGATAGGTGTAAATATTTTCTTGTATGATTCACGTATGAGTCACAAATGTGATGACGTGACTATTGAATAATCAGTTATATTGCACGAAACACGAAGCGGCACTGCAGAGGCAGAGTGCACGAAGATGGAACGAAAGGAGGAATCGAGCGATTTGGCTCGACAAATAGCCATATCCAACGGCTACGAAATAGTAACCCCACGAGGTAAGCTTAGAAGGAGAGCGATGTCTCAAAACGAAACACTTGGCCAGAAGAAAATCCCGTTTATGTTGTCCTTTAATAACGATGAAGTGTAGCTTCGTAATAATTGTAATTGACCTGAAACTGCGTAATTTGACCTTACGGCAGGGACGGTGACTGCATGAGTTCAGGTACGATATACCTGATCTTTTGTAGTACTTGTGGAGAAGAATATATTGGTGAAAAAAGCCGACCATTATGTATCCGTATAAAAGAGCAACGAGATGTAAAACAAAAAGCAAAACAAAATATCCCACCAAGAACGCATAGGATACAAAAACATAGCGGAGACGATTTTGATATAAGTCACTATCCTTGCAAAGGATGCCAAAATTCTCCTACAATGAACACCAAGGAAGAGTGCCCAGAGATTACACGCCACCTGGCCTCGTACCTTCGCATCAACTGTTGATGTGGGGTGATGAATTCATCGACTCAACATCGATATGCGACTCTGATCGGATGTTCCTCAGTGGAAGGCATGTAAAAAACGATGGGTTTTTCGAAAAGCTGTTGATCGTGTGATTGCCATTTAGATTTTCATCTTTCCGCTTGTTATTGAAGCATTTGGCATAGTAAATTGCACAACAATATACCCTTCCAGGCTCTGAAGAAGGCGCTCCTGCCGAGACGTCAGCTTTAACGAAATGAAGAATAAATTAATACCTTGTTTGCTCAACAAGAACATCAAAAATCAGTTACATTACATTTCTAACAATCTATGAGGATTACACTGCGTCACGAATCAGCACATTCTAAAGTATTAAAAGAAATATACATAGTTGAACGACTGTAGATATAGAATCAAAGATCAAATGAATAATATCGGGTAAGTTTGGACTCATCTATAAAGAAAGAACTTTGCACAGTGCTAGTTCGGTATTTTCATATGACCACGGAAAGAGAACCAAAGACACGAACCTAAATCCAGAATCTTTCCAATTGTAATTGAAGCTTTCAAGAGCTTCACGTATTTCAGCATGCGAGTGAAGAACTGGAAATGGTTTTGGAGCACAAAAGTCCAGTAAATGTAATCGCGGGAAAATGAATACGGACCGGAACGCAAAATAGCCTCCATATACAGGATGGAGACTAAGACCGATAAACTTCTGAAAACAACTGACTGGTAGTAAATCCGGAGTCATAATTCAGACAATTATGCGAAAGCAAAAATATATATGTCACTTAATGTGTCATACTTCATAGGTTTGAAGTTTCAAAGGATCAGGAAATTGTGTAACGATCTTTACCCTTACAAAGAACTAAGTGAACAAAGCATTTCTACACACTATTCCACCCCTCAGACTTCCAAATGTTTCGACCTGAAGCGAAATACGACCTAGTAGTTTTCTGACAATACCTAAAAGTTGTTCTCATCTCCACAGCAATAACACGCAGCGAATTAAATAATTTCGCACAAACTAGAGCTAAACAACTTGATATACCAAATAACCTAGCAAATAAAGTCTATTGTGTTCAGTTATAAATCATCGACTCACCTTATTTTCCTCAAGAGACAGTGGGGACCATCTTTCAAAGCCTACTTGAAATGGTTGATAGTAATATGCAGCTCCTGGAATAAGAAGCTGAATGAACCTAAAAAACTTAAGCCTCGATCCGAAGAATACTTACTGAAGCATTACGCCTTGAAGGGATCTTACGAACTTTCTTTGATGAGCTTACATGATGTTATCAATGTTAATTCATAAAGGAAAGTTCGTAAGAGAAAATAAGTTGGGTGGCAATATCGAGGCTAACCGAAAGTCGTTATTAATGAATATGATATCGCCGAATTATTACGACATATCAAAGAATTACAAAGTTAATGAGATCTCAGCAAAACAACTAAGAACCTCAGGTGTGCTATTAACTAGCGATTGTGAGAAGCACGTGAAAGTTCGTCTTACTTAACATAAATCCCAAACTCTAAATGTCAAGACGCTTTCTAGAGGCTTCTCAGAATTCTACGTGGTAGTAAGATCTAACGAAATAAACTGGACAGGCAACTTTACAAATTATATTGCATATACAAGTACATGATATATACACAAGATATACAAATACTCAACAAAATTTCAAATGAGCAAACAGGCAAAGAAAATCTCACGTAGAGAAAATAAAACAGGAACAGGAACGTATAGAGAAGATGGCGAAATCTGCTATACTTATTAGTATTCAAAAACAGTTTTAAACTTTAAAGTATAATCACAGGTGTGATCGTTTAGTACAGCTACCTTCAACAAGCAACCTACCTGATATATGGCCACAGGTCTGCATCAAAATCCTTGGCTTACGATTAATAGAAAGTGAATGATCATGTAGGAGCTCATATTCGATGTCAAGTTCGTCAAATTTCTAAAACACTCAGCGTTCCTTACTGAAAAATGGCTTGTAGGAAAGTCCGAAATCAATGGCAAGAACTACAAGATGAATATTACATACACTTACAGAAACCATACCAACACATTCGCGACGGATATGGATTTCGATGACTGGTGATCGAAACTGATCGATCTCTAGAGCATTTAAGGAGCTCAAAACTTCATACAGCTGTAGAAGGAACTTCGATCTATCGCATTGATCAAATAAGGCATCTTAACGGCGTCCCTCTAATTTTGATACTTAGGGTGAGAACTTGGCTTTGCGTAAACCGCTGATAATCTCCCGATGAGTGGACTACTTGAGGAACCGGAAACGTGGTCAGCTTACAGAAGAGACTTCACTCCCTCTATTTAGTAGAAAGTATAATTCTTTAGGTGGTTTTTAAAGTTGTTTGAAATCAAATTCTCAAAAGAGGTGATACCGAAATTTATATTCTTGCAATTCCCACAGAGAGGAAAACAGCCATATACATACACCAACAGCGCAACCGGAGACGTCACCGTTATCTAGTGGACGAAATACCGCTCGCTCGACCACTTTCATTTGCGAAACATGACGCCCAAGTGGAAGAGTGCACAAAATCTAATTTGGTGGTAAGAGCACATGCCTCTGGCAAGCAAAGATTTGCATGTATTACATTTTCTATTCCAGTTGATAAGGTTTATCCTCGCCTGAGATATGATGGTTTATAAATGAATGTTGTTATTTTTGCGCTGTTTGAGTGGAAATCATGTCACCTCAGACCTTGGCTGTCAAATATGCTCAGAATTGAAGGTGTAGCAAAAATCGATGACGAAATTAGGTTTTTAAAAATTTCCAACGGAAGGGCGGAAACTTCAAACATAAATAATGTATTAGCGGGTAATCCGTAAGAACATATATATATATATATATATATATATATATATATGCAATGTACTCCAGAAACCTCCCCACGGTTTACCGCCCAATCGTGTCTGGGAGGTGTACTCGGGTGTTGCGTTGCGATTTACGGCAGATTGATCCGCGTGGCAGGGCCTGCCAAGCTAAGAAGTAGTCTGGGGTTTTCATCAGGAAACCCAGCTAATAGTAGACCAATACCAGGATCCGCCACCGTCCTAGTATCAAACTAGTCGCATGGTGACAAATCTCCCTCTAATCCACAACGGTGGCGAATGCCCGTGGTGGTGACGACCTGGAGTATACCTTGCAAGGCCGACCTCGAAACTTCAGGGTAACACAATACTAAACCAGCGAAACTCCAAAAAATGGAGATTATGATGGGGCACGCACAACCAGTGAGGACGGGTCATTCAATTATCCACGTAAGTACTCCAAACCCAGAATTTCTGGCAATATGGAAGCACCTTTATAATATAGGTAATCATTTTCAGACCCTAACACTCTTTATCGCAATTAATATAATTCTTTACGAGGAAATCTGTTGACTTAAAGCTGAAAGCTGCCTCATCGTCGCATCGTGTACCTCCTAGAAAGCTCTCGCCGCCACGAATGTGTTGAAACAAAGTTGGTTAAAAAATACGTCCGTCTTCTTAATCTACAAGATTTATATGACAAAAGCTAATTGAATTAGAGATGTTGCACTTCACATAGTGGATCCAAGCGGGACTGCAGGAACTCTTGAATAGGAGAGCTCACAGTTTCAGACAGCGCTTCCAAAGAACCGAACTGTAAAATTTAGAAATCGCCCTAAACGCATCTTGTACATAATACGAAAAAGCAAGTTGAAGCTGACAAATGAAGTTCCAACCTCCATGTACTTTGCTAAAAACCATCTCTTAAAGGACACGTCGAACATATCTGGAGTACTTAAAATCAAAATACCAGCAGCGCTGTTATCATAAGGTAGTTTGAAATGAATACTAACAGCGTTGTTGTAATCACCGACCTAGAAATAAACTTTCGAAATGACAGGTACAAACAATGCTAAACGGCAAAACAATAAGAAGACCAAGGGATAATAAAGATTCAGGTGCCAAAAGTAGAGGGAGTTATATTCTTAAAGGGTTATTTTATTGAGATCTACATAAGGTTTATGCCAGAAGAATACGTTGCCTAAAAGGCTCTCTAGCAACCATTATCCTCAAACATCGTCGGCTTAGCTTCAGATTTTGCTTGAAAAATTTCAGTCTTTCCTATGAATACCGCTAACTGTTGGTCATATCGATCCTTCCTCGACACCAATGTTAGGTCACTACTAGATCTTGTGGATCGCATTGAGTAGCTTCCCAGGCAAATCCGTTACTGATCTCAAAATTAAGGAGAGGTGAAAATTCGCTTGACGCGAACCAGTGCCCTTGCGTATTTGACGGCATCACTATCACTGCGCAACCTATGCCTTATCTTGATTGGGAAAAGTCTAGCAAATAATGGTTAGCTTAGCTTCCTAGAAAAAAAATCAGAATGGAATGTTCCTAATGAAGAAGAACTGGGAAACGCAAGTTCGTCATTTAAATCTTAAATGAAGTAGTCAAATAAAACTCACCTTAAAAAGATGCGTTTCAAAACCGTCTTCAACTGGTAGCTCACCATCAATCACCTCCTTCACGCAAAAAACTCTGTCGCGAGTAGCACTAGTAATGTGCGACATCTTTAAATAAGAATATATTGAGGCAACAATGCAACAATATTAGAACAACATTTACATAGTGCTCCGTGAAAGGATAAGAATATCAAAGCGTGGATATCGCTAACAGTAAATTCTGAAAGCGATGGATCAAGTTCTTTTTCCACAAAACAAGTACAAAATCTACGAGAATCAACAACAATGTACCGGTAAACCCGTTGAAGGAAAACAAGGTGGCCGTACCCACAACAAGCCTCTACGAATGAAACATTTGATATGAAAAATGGGAATTAGATATGCAGCTACAAAATTGGAATAGCAATGATTACAGAGGAAATCATAGCGACCACAAGGGCTAGAAAAACCATATAGATAATAGAACTTACAACATCATGAACAACACATCATACCACAAAAAACCTGTACAAACGCTAGGATAGAAATCCGGAACCTCTTCTGTTCTATTTTCCGTTAATATGAAATAAGCAGATAACATTCGATAAGAATATATATATGTACATATATATGCACATATGTATACATATACATATGTATGTGTACACATAAGTATATATATATAAATATATATATATATATATATGAAGGGCCCTACCAACGGTTTACCGCCTCATCGTGGATGGGAGATGTTCCTGGGTGTCGGACTGCGATGTATAGCGAAGGATCCATCTCCCAGCAGAGTCTCCTAGGCTGAGGAGTCCGGCGTTCCCATCAAGAAGCCTAGCTAAGCGTAAACCAATACCAGGATCTCCTACCGTCCTGGTGTCAAAGTCGCATAGTGGCAAATCTCTACTCCACAAGAGCTGCGACTGCCTCTGGTGGTGAAAACCTGGAGCAGACTTTGGCCAAGCTGACCTCGGCATTCTAGGGAACCACAATGGCTTAACCAGCAAATCTCCGAAAAATAGAGAATATGCTGGAGCCCGCACAACCAGTAAGGACGAGTCATTCAAGTATCAAGTATCAAGTATATGAAGAACGTAGCTAATCGCGATAGTTGGAGACAAGTACGTACGAATTATTTCGGACTTTCGTCGTCACTACTCGAGCTGGAACTACTATCACTACTCATTTGTTCCACTTTGTTCACTGGTGGAGGGTTAATTCGAGGTAAGGGACACACGAAATTGACGTTAACCGTAGGTGATACCATGCGTGGAGAACTCTAAAAAGGCAAAAGTAAGCTTGAGTTCGAAAAGTACCCAGCTACAAGGATTTTTTAAGAAAAGATAGTGAAATATTACCTCGCCAACATTGTTAGTTCTCTTTTGGAAAGGCGAAACACCGCCGGGTCCGCCACCCCTGGCGACCCAATGATGGGCACCTCCACGCCCACGTGGCGAGGGACTTGTTTGTTGATATCTGCAAGACAAATGGTAGCGTAATATATGGTATTAGAAATTTGGATTCCGCAAAACAATAAGTAACTCTATACAAAGTAACATAGAAGGTTAACATAGATAACATAACATAACATACATAGCAACATAGATAAACATAAATGGGACGGTCACATAATAAGAACAGACGACAAATGGACGAAAAGAACAGTAGAGTGGACTCCAAGAGGATGCAAACGTCTCCTTGGACGACCACCTACACGTTGGGCGGACGTGTTCATAAACAAAGTTAATCAGCTGTACCCGCAGCTGCAGTTGTTTTATAGATCACGGTATGAGACTCGCAAGCGCTACCATGCTCGAACAAGACCACCACCACAGACTACGATTGCGCGAGAAAGGAACGAATGGCATATGTGCTTGGGGTCGGCACAGCTTGTGAAGACGGACCGTCCAAGTATCCAAGTAAGTATAGTAACATTAAATTCGTGAAGAGGAGGCGGATAGGATAGTACTAATAATGGCGATCACCACGAACACTGTTATAGTTTGACCCGGTCCCGTCCCAGCAAGTCCCTCATTCAGCAAATTCGACGACATTCAACGACACTGAGGGAAAATTCTCAAGCAGCAGCCGAATCCACACATAGGAAGACCTTCGTGAATGATGTATGCAAGGAAATGAATCGAATGTGAGAAGTGTTGGGATCTGCACACTTGATATGAAGGTGGGTCGTATAAAATCAGAAATAAAAGATCGTAAAAAGATACTATACTTCACTCAATATTGTGCAAAGAATTCTCGAAATGTTATGTTTTGAAAATAGTCACCCTGTTCGCGGACTCCAGACCTTTCCTTGAATCGGAATTTGAGGCATCCCAGTCATCGGTGAGGAAACACGTCCCAAACTACTCTAAACCATAAAGGCTTAATTACCTCGTACTAATAAGCTACAGAATAAGAATACACAAACAACGAAGTTCTTTAACAACTTTAAAGAAGAAAAACGCGTTTTGTAAGAGCTAATCGGCAATTCTGCGAACGTTCGCAATAACGAGTTGGTTTTGAACAGAAATATATAAATCTATTGCAAGAACATTTGCAGGACTTGCAATTGTTATTTTTCCGCCTTTTTTTTTTACTTTAAAAAACCTCAGTAGCCGCTGCATTAACTTATGAAGAGCACACCGTTGCATGTTGTTGTCGCAGAAGGCTGAAAGTTGAAGGCACCACTTGAGGGTTTGTTCTCGGTGCTGCAAGGGCGGACGCACGGAACTCAGGTTCGGTCGGGAATGGACGAGAAGGATCACCTAATACGATAAATTAAAGTACGAACAACAGAAGACAAGATTTCCTAAATATCATAGGAAATAAGGCAATGTTCAAAAAATGACCAACGCTGAACATTTAGGTTAAAAATGTACATTCCGTTTTTGCACAAAAAACGTCGTGGGTAAAGTAAAGGACCTTTTAAAATCCGAAGGAGAAGAAATATTGTATAAATGGCAAAATGGCAGAAGATATTCTACAAATTGGGACAGAAGTAGCTCTAAATGGAGTTCTTTCGACTCCGACCGATGCATTCATGCTGAGATAGAACGTCAATATTTTTCAAACTACAATCAAGTCAGAAACACGGAATTATATATATCAACGAAAAAAGTTGCAAAAAGAATCCTGCACTGATGTAAACGATAAACATAAAGATTGACAGCTTATGTCTTAATAGCAAGCAGCATTTGACATTTGTTAAAATGCCAACAGCTGTCGGAGAAAACGCACATAATCTCAAAAACAACGGACTGAGGCTAATAATCCCTTGAAGTGTTGTTAATATCGGCATAAGAGTTAAGATGGTTTAATGACCGTTACAATCACAGAGGAAAAAGCACGCATGTCAAATTCCACTTAAGAGTAGTAATCAGTTAGGACGAACCTTGCTGCCAATACAATGGAGCTGACACTGAATAGTTCTTGCTTATTTGATGAGCTAAGCGTATAACAACTTCACTATTCACTGGATGAGCTTCTGATTCTCGTACAGAGTGAATCTTATTGTTTGCCTGTAAAACCAATGTTGTTGCACTTTTTGAGGTCCATAGTCCACAAAAGAATAGCATGGTTTCTACAACATTGATTACGAGATAAGGACGAAAACCGTAGTGCCATTCCTGCACTGGAAAATACATTCGTATTACTTCACAACCTTCCCAACAGACTGCGATGTACAGCGGGGGAATTCGTCCCCTCGGTAGAGTCTCACAAGCTGAGAAGGAGTTCGGTGTTTCCATCAGAAAGCCTAGCTAAGAGTAAACCAATACCAGGATCTACCACCGTCCTGGTATCAGAGTCACATGGTGACAAATCTCCCTCTGATCCACAAGGAGTGCGACTGCCTGCGGTCAGGTAGACCTCGGGATTCTAGGAACCATAATGGCTTAGCCAGCAAGTCTCCAAAAGATGGTGATTATGCTACGGTCCATATAACCAGTGAGGACAGGCCGTTCAAGTATCAAGTATCAAGAATTATTTCGCAATAACTTGGATACTTGGATAGCTGGATGGCCCGTGTTCACTGGTTGTGCAGGTCCCAGCACAAATTCCACTTTTTCGCAGTTTTGCTGGCTTCGCCATTGTGGTTGACCGCAGCTCAAAGGTCATTCAGGCCAAAGTTTGCCCCAGGTCGTCACCACCACAAGCAGTCACCGCTGTTGTGAACCAGAGGGAAACTGCCACCATGGGACTGGTTTGATACCAGGACGTTGGCGGATCCTGGTATTGGCTTATTCTTGGTTGGGCTTCCTGATGGAAACGCCGGACTCCTTTTCAGCTTGGGGGGCTCTGCTGCTTGGATGAATCCCGTCGCTGTGCTGCCCGACACTCAGGAACATCTCCCAGAGACCATAACGCAATAAATCTTTGGGAGTATGTATTCGTATTATTTCACAAAAAAGAAAAGATTTGGGCAAAGCTTTGCTTGTAAATCATGTCAAACCGAGCAGACTGATAGTAAGTGTAAAGAAAGCGCGACACGCTGTCACCTTCACCTTGCTAACTAGCCTTCACTATTTTGCGTAAGAAAATGTGAGTGAAAAGGTATTTGTTCAGCAATCGCGAGGTTTTTAAACAGCATACACTTACTTCCATAGAAAAACACAATACAATACAACGCTAGCTGACGCTTCGGCAGTATCGCCTTCTTCAGAGCCGCTTCAGAGAAGGCTATACTGCCGAAGCGTCAGCTAGCGTTGTATTGTATCTATGGAAGTAAGTGTATGCTGTTTAAAAACCTCGCGATTGCTGAACAAGAAAACGACACATTCATATTCCAATGCCGAGGTTAATAGAAAGTCGACCCTGGAAAAGATATTACTTAATCAACACATTCGCAACGTCTTGCATTGATTCCAATGCATGCGTGTCCGAAAATTGTACTTCTGAACAATCATATTTTAGTTCAGAACGAGTTTCGTTGACGTAGACAACCACTGGAATCGACAGATTTCCGCCAACAAGAAACAACACCTTTTTGGTTCCCGATTGAATAATGGATTATTGACATTTGTGATTTACGCCGAAAAGTTTAAGATTAAAAATTTCGTTCCCATCTTTTCATAAATTTGAGTTTCAAACGAATAATAGATAACATTTTTGGAAAAACATTTATACTCTTAGAGCGCTACCTTCAACCCTCTTTTACAATCCCGTCAAGTCCTCAAGCTCAACATTACTCCATCATCGAAAAATTATCAGCAGTTGTCAAAGGATCAGCCTCATCGCATATGTGTAAATAAAGTTAGCAAGAAACACTACCCACAAAAGCAATTAGAAGTTTTCACTTAACCAACACAGTACAAAACTCTAGGTAAATTGTAACAGAAACAAATATGAAGATGAATAAATAAAAAAAAATAACGCTCTCGACGTTGATCAATCCTTTAGGGATGCGCCTTCCATTCGACTTCATTAAGTACCGTTTGGATGTGACTGGATGCATATTTGGCCTTTACAATGACTCGCAGTGAGCTACCGATGAATCGAGCCAGTGCTGTATTTATTCTCCTAGACAAGTTTAACACCATCTAGGAGCGATAGAAGGCTTGGTGAGCCTTGGGCGCCAGGATCGATTCCATGTGTACTGCAGGGCGCCTCCGAACACTACGCCACATGCGCCCATTATGAATAAACAATGAGTACAAATTAATCTCTTTGATGGAATATGTTTTATATATAAAAATAATACCTGATAGACGGCAGATGTTAATGCCATCTCGGCGACCTTAAGATTAGTTTCCAACTTATCAATGATCTCATTTCTTTCCTGGACACAAATTTCGAGCTGTCGGATCAAATTCTCTCTGGCACGAAATTCAGCGACTGAAGAACGTTGTTTAATCTACTCAAAAACTTTTCTAAAGACATATCTCATTGTCCAAGAAAACAAAGCAATCACAGACCCCGTCCAAGGAGGTTTTTGACTTCGTTTATACGACCTTCAAATAATGTAACCAAACTATTCAGTGATTCATTCCCACGGCGATGTTTATCCCGATTTAGCAAGGACTCCAATATCTTAAAGAGCTATTCAAGAAGATGAACTAAGCAGACGGATATAACCTATACGAAGATCACGTGGTTTCAACTAACCTGTTTAATTATAAAATCCAAATCATCGACATTTTCAAGCAAGCAATCCCGCAGGCTACGACAGTCAGTCATCAGGCTTTGGTCTTGTCGAAATACCTGTTACTCAACAGATACTATACAGGAAGGGAAGAGTACTCAACAAAATGAGGCGAAGACGCTTAGACCAATGGAGGTTAAGAAGAATAGTTGAAGAAATCGTAATATATCCGCGACGAATACCTCGCTTTCGATCCTGAACCTGTCAACATTTGTGCGTCATTTTGAATGTGTGTCCGCAGCGCTAGTTTTGTTTACGCCTATCTTGTGCTTTTGGATTACTAGTAGCTTACTCGGGTACATAGGTGGCCTGTCATCACTGATTGTGCAGGTGCCAACATATTTTCAATTTTTTTCGGAGTTTTGCTGGTTTAGCCTTGTGCTTCCCTAGTCCCGAGGTCAGTCTAGGTCTGCTCCGTTATTAGTGTCTAGGATGCTCATTAGAATATGATTCATAAGAGTTAACTGTGGAATGCAAGTACTTCCATTCTCCATGGAAATCGTAAACATTTAAGAGATTAATTGGTTAAAATCATGTGAGTGTCAGAAATCACAGAAATTAAGCTCGAACCGTCTCCGCTAATCGACAACTAGCCGCAAGTCCCAGGAAGTAACGGTTAGCCTAAGGCCTCGTGAGTAGCATTCGGGAAGTTGGACGATGTTCTTGGTGATTGTTCTAACTGCGAGAATTCCTTGTGAAGAGGATTTACGTTGAGTAGGAAGATACTTTTAGTAGAACTTTTCTTATAAAGGTAATGGTACTTGTATGAGTGTTTTCCCCGTAATAAGACCAACTCGAGAATTCAGGGAAAGGAAACTTTCCACAATGAGCAAATTACCATTAAACGACAGGAAAAACTCCTTCAAATTATAATGGAATGTATATGTCTTTATCAAGTACGCTAGCTTTATGAATAGAACGTAGTGATACAAGTTACCGTTTGAGGCGAACAACTCGGATGACTTGGAGTAGAGGGGTGGACTAATAGGCATCTGCGACGAGACCTATTTCTCCGATTATAGCTTCAAGTCAGAATTCCGTCGTTCATCTGACGGATACCGATCTTCATGTACTTCTGCATACCGCGCGAATTAGATAGGAGTTGCAGCTTCAGAATCAGAATGGAGATCGGTGTACTGGTAGGTGATTGCGGTGTCGTAGATGCAGAGCAACGTCGAGACCCTTATTCGATCGCCATTCGTCGATTGTCTCGCGTTCACACCTCGAACACGAGAACGCTTCCTAGGTCGTTATCACAATTAGTCATCAACCACCGCTGCGAATCAGAGTGATGTTTGAGTTCTTGTAACTACGGTTCTCCCACAACAGTAGCGATTTCTGATGTTAGTCCTAACACTTTAGTTTCAAATAAGCCCAAGACACAGATAGATTCGGCAAGTATGAGATTTCTCGCTATACTCGAGAAGTATGTACGGAATATGCAGTATGGATTGCTATTTATGAAGTCAAACCTTTATAGTGATGACAAAAAAGCCTTAGGAAAGACCAGAAGCGACCAAAGGATGTAACTGTCAAGCATATCGTCTTTAACTCAGATGTGGGTGCTTCAGTCTTTATGATCTTTACTTTTTCTTTGTAAAAGAAATCTTGAGAGGCTGGTTCAGCTATGCCTATTCACTAGTGTTTTTATGTTCATAAGACAGTTTTTCGCCGAAAATTTGTTGTCGGAATTTCATCTCGTAAAATTACCGTTTCTCTTATTTATAGAAGGGCGAAAAGCTCTGTGAGAGATTTTTACTTCTTCATTTTATTTAACTTTGAAAAATAATCACCACCGTAGCAAAGCAAGCTGTTAACTCACTGAGCTTTTTACCACTTCTACAGTGTTCATACCGTACCACGTTTGCAAGCCCATAGTCGGTCACCTCCAGCACTAAGAATTACGGTTAATGTCTCTTTAAGTCCACTTATAAAGCTCAAACCATCAGAAGTGTATCGAGTACTAGTTGGTTTTTGGAAACCAAACGTTTTAATGAAGAACATGGCCAACGATAACGAAGTAGCTGTGTACATTAACATTTATTAAAGATACAAGGCTTGAAGATAGTACTACTACGACAGTGGAATTTCGGTAGCAATTACAAAAGGACGAAATGAATAGCTCACAGAGTAATCTAGTAAAATAAAGCCAAATTGTTTGAGCGAAATTGTCGGTAGGATTAGACTTCAGTGCTATGGCCAGTTTGCGTTCGAGATAAATCGTTGTAGAAGCTGAAATGCACTCGTCAGTCTAAAATCTCGTTTTTCTTAAATAGTCCCAAGCATCACTCCATTTCTTAAATATGTTCTGACGTCGTTGTTCTTACCCATAAGCAAAGATCAATTAAAACGATATGAAAGAGTAAATCTGGAAACAGTTTACCATATCCATTCAAATTCTCTTCTCCATAATACTTGCAGTTCTGCTTGGATATCCTTTCCGAGGATTCGGTATGTGTATGTAATCTCTCAAGTGAGTGATTCTATTACTTCAACTCTCCAACGGTTCAATGACAACAACAGCAGTAACGGTGAACCGAGGATTACAATGAGATCCAACGTATTACTGCGCATCATATCTTACTCTACCACTGGACTATACGTCCGGATAGCCTGATGTATGGAAGAGACAACGAATTCAGTACAACGGTATCAAGATATCAGTGATAAGGGCGCATGTAGCACAGTAGTTAGAGGTGTCCTGCAATAAACACGTGGTCTTTGGTTCGATCAAGTGCCCCGGGTTCGCGACGCTTTCTATCACTATTAGGTCGGCAGACCGGTACCGCTTTCATCTGGGAGGACACCAAAGCTGGCTTGATAAATTGGTAGGTTACCAAAAGTCACTTTATAGGACAGATATACCTTCAATCACCTTTACTAAGCTACGAATTCAGTTGGATGGTGCATGTGTAAGGAACTAATGAACAACGTATGCTTTATAATTTGTTTAGTTGAAATGTTATAGTCGGAGTTGTTTAGGTTGTGGATTACAGTCAGTGCGAATTTATTCTGATGTTTGTTTGTTGTGTTTCAGCCAAAAATTAACATGAATATGGAAGGAATAGATGCTAACCTAACACTTCACATTTCTAATCACAAAGTTAGGGCTTTAGTGTAAAGTACCACATAAAATTTTGGGAATGTCATAAACCGTTCTTAGCTAATATGGAATAAACTGGCTCCACCTGAGTTCCTTTTCTTCTTGCTCGTCAACTGCTTTTCAATTATTTATGGGTAGTAAATTTAATTCGGGGAAATAAAAGAAGTGAAGAAGCCGGCTTTAAACACGTAGAGCTTCTTTCGAACGAGAGTATAGTAGTAGCGATGCTCTCCGGCATGCGAAAAGTCCGGGTTTGACCATCCTCCCATCCTACCAGTGTCAGGAAACTTCTCCCAAATTTCTCTGGGAAACACCCCTTCTCTCTCGCAATCGTCATTGTATCCAAATAGATGTATCGGGAAGTTGTCTGTCTGTGCTAAATCTCTCTCCGATCGTTTTTAATAGTAAACGCTGATCATTCAAAAATAATTTCGAAACATGAAAAAGACTTTTACTTGCTTGTTGTTTTGCTGATAAGTGAGTCATTGATTTTCTTGCACACCAAACACCCGATAAAGGCAGAACATAGTGGTAAAGAAGCCTCCACTCCATTGGTGACTCCATGATCTTATGACGCATTGAAGAACTGTCATGTTTCTTCGGTATACTTACCATTAAAGACAAAGTTAAGGTATTAAGGTGCACAAAGTGCAAACGAGGTGCTACTGCACGTACATGATTTTAGTACTGACAATGAAATAGAACTTGTAACGATACTGGTCGTGCAGTTTTTTTGAATAGTGAGGGCGCTTCTACGTTAATAGTCGATACACAGACGTTTTTCTTTGTGGTTGTAAGTATCGCCAATTTAAAAAACCAATATGAGTGGTGCCATGAACAGAAAAAGTCTGATTGTTAGGCTGATTATGCAAGAGAAAATGAATAGAGAACAACTGAAGGTCCAAAGAAATTCAAGCAGTGTAGTGGTGTCCAGGTGGAAACAGAGAAAAGCAATCATTACCCATCATGATGTAGTTATTTCCACCAATTCATAGTGACAGGTGATTGAAGGCTACGATCTAGTAAAAACAGTTGCGAATAAAAGCGACCGCGGTGTCTGTCAATCTAACTAAAACGGTAGGTATACACGATTTTTCACGTAGTCACTTGTATGGGTTTATGATTAACGCAGAAGAGATGTAACAAAAATCTAGTGGGACGATTTTTACGGTCCATTCGAGTTCTCCTTAAACCCATGCTCTTCTTACCCACTCAAGTCATGTTACCCTAAAAATGCCGACCCATTTAGGAAAAAAAGTTTTGTGTACTGACTCTCAAGGTAATGCTGTAGAGAGATAAGAAACTAAACAGAATATTTCCATTCAGAGGAGAGGAAACTTTCTCCAAGGACCGGTAGAGTGTACACTGTAATGTACACGATAAATGTAGTGCTGATGGCAGAGATAGATAAAACTAGCTGAGAGACATGCGAAACGAAAAACCCGCATCTTGTCGTGGTGAACGCGTTACTCCCCGGAAAGGACAATAGCGCGTTCGTTCCCCACCGCAGACACCTGCGGTCTGGAGTTTTGCAAATATTTATATTATATCAGCAATATTGTGATGATAAATGTAGTGTTGTCTGCTTCAAACCAGTTCTGGTATAATCAATGAGGCGAAAATTCTTGATTTGGCACCAAAAAAAGCGGTGGGAAGATTTGTATTAGGAAAACAACACTACGATTGATACTTGAGTCATATTGTCGCGAATGTTTTAGGGAAACCAAAGAATAGAAGTACTTCCGTTTCAATGGATGGACACTAACCCAACCCACAGAAGTCACTTCAAGTGATCGCAACATTCCAATCACTAGGATATTTAGCAGACGACGAGGATGAAGGTAAGAGGAAGAGAAACAACTACTCACAGTCGAAATCAAATATAACAGTAACTCTCAAGAGCGGCTTTCTATTAAACTCGGCATTAGCCAA